TGGCTGAGGCAGCATCGATGGTGGTGGCTTTGTTGATTTTTGGTTATTGTTTGTTTGCAATTTTATTATTGTGTAAAAATTGCATAAACTCTTTGTGAGTTGGGTGTTGATTGTTTTCTAGTATCTACTTGTATTTTGTACTTGTGAGAATTTAAAAGTTGGAGTTGTATTGGTAGATTTAGGCGTTGTGATTCATGTTTGATTTGTTCAGGCATGTGGCTTTTATGCCGAAATTTCTTTGGTCTTTTGTAGCATGTATGTGGATTAACCATGTGTAAATACTATACTTCAATATTTGTATTACCCATTAGTGGGTAGTTGTATTTACCCTTGTAACTGATGATCTTTGTGCCTAATTTTTTAGTACAATTATTATTTTTCTCCATAAAAAAAATATTATATATATATTGAATTGGGTAGTTGTGTACTATAGGTGTTAATAATTTATCAAACAATCTTGCACTTTATATATCATATTTGTATTGGATCTCTTGTGGCCCTCTGGTCCATGCTTCACATGGGATGCTAGGGATGAGATTCTTTTCTTTCACCAATACCTTTCTTTTCTTTAATACTAAATAAAGAACTCTACAAGTATACACGATTCAGATTGAAAGCTAAGCAACACCTTTCTGGGAAAAAAGAGAGGAAAGAAAGCTAACGGAATACCAAAACAAGGGTGTCTTTTGCTTTTATTCCAATAGGCCTCGTTTGGCACGCATGATGAATAGTATTATAATCCAATTTCTATGTTTGGTAATAAAAAATGAAATTTGAATTGGATGAAAAATAATCCAGTCATAATCACATAATTTATATTTTTGCAAATGATGTTTTATTTTGTGCAAGGGCATCCTTTTTTTTGGGATCATTTTTAATTATCATACAAGAGATAATGAGAGGAGGGAAAATCGAATTTAAGACCTCGAGTGTAGGGTAAATATTTTTGACTACTTGAGTTACAAATTATTTACTTTTTGAGACCAATTCTAATCACTTTGTATATGTGTACTAGAGTAGATGACGATAATTGTGTTTCTTTTTTTTCATTTTTTGGGCTAAATGCCTTATTATTTTTAGGGAGTTTCACTAAAACACCCAAAATGGGGGCTGAAATTATAAAAAAACCAAACACCCAAAACACTTTATAAACACACCCAAAACCATCATTACACACACTCAAAACCCATTTATAAACAAAAAAAATATATATAATTGTTGATTTTGGGGTTGATTTTGGGTGTGTTTCTATGTTTAAATAATATTTGAGTTTTTTTATAAATACATGTTTAGGATTGGGTTTATTTATAAATTTGTATTATTTTTAAGCTTTTAGTTTATGCAACTTCTTATCGCTTTTAGTAACTACGCACAAAACAAAAATAAAAACAAAAAAAGAATATCACAAGTCTGATTTAGTAACATTCAATTTTTACTTTTGGTGAAGAAATATGAGTTTTTTTTTAATAAAAAAGAAATGAGTTAATTATTGAAATACCCCCAACTAGGACCCCAATTGGACATAATGTATGAACTAAAAAATCAGCCAATTTAGCACCTGAAATAATTAAAATGATCAATTTCACACATGTCGTTAGATTTGAAATAATTTCATCCAATTCTCCATTAATACTAAAGGTATATTTGTATTTTCGAATAAAATAAAAGTTAAATAAATAAAATCAATAGAAAAAAACTTTTATAAAATTTATAATTAAACAAAAAACCCAGCCCCATCCTCTTTAGCACAGCCCCATCCCACCCCCTTCCTCCTCCACCCGCAATTTCAGCCCCACCCTCTCCCATAACCTTTATGACTTGTCATCTTTAAGCCAACTAACTTTCTTGTCGCACTCGAAAATCTTACCCAGTTTATTTCTCGGGCCTCGGTAACTACCCATTTGAGGCAATCTGATTTCGTACTGATGATGTAAAGCTTGGCAACCTTCATTGGCTTTTCCTCACAACTTCCCTTTCACGGAACCCGATTCAAATATGTGCCATACCCAACAAAAACAACCCCAGATTCAGAAATGGGGTGTTGGTTGGTGGCTGTTGTGTCTTTTTCCATCTGGACTTGGTGGGTTCCTTTGTTTTCTTTTCATTTTTTTTATTTTCTAAATATTTTAGTCATTAGATTGGTTGTTTCAATAAATTCAAGTACTAAATTGGCCGACTTTTTAATTCGACGCATTAAGTTCAACGAATGTCATAATTCGGAGTTAAAGGACTGAAAATTCAAAAGAAGTATGAGTTTAAAGATCGGACAAATACTGACATGTAGTATTCAATTTTTCAACTACCCAAAGTCGAAAATTGCAAAATATAATAAATAAATAAATAAGAGAGAGTTGCATGGACATCACATGGCATTAAGTGAGTGGCAATTTAGTAGTTGTTGGGCAAACTGAGCAGTTATGGAAAGTCAGTTACATAACGCAGAAAAGGCATAGTGCGACTGATGATGAGCAGTTGAATCTCTTTGTGCGACCCACCACACCAATAGACGAGCATGGAGGAAAACGGCCGACAACACGTCAATTGTTGCATCCGTGCTGATGTGTTTCTTGTTTCATTCGTTCAATTCAATTTCAAAGTCGCAGTCTGTCTGCTGCTGTTGTTTTGCTCATAATAGTCGCAAACAAGACAAGCAATAACGACAAACAAATTAAAAGAACTGTAACATTATTCATTACTATTTAATTATTAGGAAATTTTGCAATAAATAATATCTGAATTTTTAGACTTGTGCCCGATTACCATCTGAATGTTTTGTTTTTATTATTAATCACTTGAACTTTATAAAGTGGTATAATTTACGTATCACAAAATCCTCATGTGAATGAATAACTTAATGATAACAGCATCATATAGAATGATTTAGGGTTTAGTATAAAAGGAAATTTGGAAGGAAATCGGGGCACTCTAAGCTCCAATTTTGGCGTCAGAATGATTGGCTAGGTATGAGTATGGAGGGAAATCAATTTCAACAAGCCAGATGAACTAAATATCACTCTACGTGAGAGGCACACGATACATTTTAACAAAAAGTGAACGAAACTTGATCTAAATGGTAAATTGTAACATTTACAATATCCAAGTAGTTAATATTAAAAATTACAAAATTATGTGGTAATAGAAGTTCAAGAGACAAACAATTGCAACAAATCATAAAAAAAATTCAATTGAAAATTCTAATTTTTGCTTTCAAGTATACAACTAATAATTGAAAAGGAAACAACAACACATTCATCACCATCCGCCAACCCTTTTTGAATTAAAAAGTCTGAATTATTAATCCAATATATCTCAACCACCAGCAAAGCAACTCAATTTAATTCCATTTGGATTTTCCTTCTCTACATGATTTGTCTTCCAAGTGAAAGTAACAACCAGAAGCACCGTCATTATGACGGTAGTGGCGCACTGATGAGTAGATTCCTTTTTCCCTGCCTACACTACCAACCATAAACTGTCCCGTCCACCCAACCTCATTATGCAAAAATAACTTTATTATAAAAGGATAGCACTGTTTTACTGTTTCGGTCAATAACACAATGATATGTGAAAATGTTAACTCATATGTCGTTGCGTTATTTACTTGGGATAACAAAAATTGTTATTTGCGGTGCATGAGAGTTTTTCTCCTCATTATGATTGCATATACTAGCATTTCCTCATTGTAAATAAATCACAATTTAACACATGTTAGTAGTAGTACTCATAATTCGTCTTTTGTGAAATCTTAACAATAATGATATGTTTACTTACCAATAATGAGTATGAGACAGGGAATGATTCTAATTTTTGACTACCCCATGTTTACTAACACATAATGAATGAAAAAACTATATAAGTGCCATCTTCAAATTCGTAATCCCATACCCTTGAAATCATGAATCATATCAACTAAAGAGGGGTAATAATCCAATGCCCATTCATATTCTCCCTTGCGACCCTCTAAAAATAACCTTTTTTTTTAAATTCTAAAAATAAAATTACAAAGCAAAACCTCTTGGGCACGCAAGCCTAAAGAAGTCTAAAAATAACCTTACAACTCTATAATTTCTATTTATATGCTAATTCCATATGGTTAGTAAATAAATGATTTCTTCTTATGTCAATTCCTTACTTCCTCATTCCTAAATTCTCCAATTTATTATTTCCCACATAATCATAACGAGTAAACATGTCATAAAAAGTTCGTGCAATGTAACAATGTTGGTCTCTTCTCACGTAAAGTAGGCTAACACTTGGTCTTCCCTCTAGAAAAAGAGGAATTAAACATGTGTTGCACACGTCTATGAAGGTGAATGACTTTTGACAACGGATGCTCTCATTCTAGCGCACGTCTTGCAAAAGGGTATAATTTAAGGGACGACGGATGCTCTCATTCTAGAAAACTGCATATAATATGTTTTCTTTTAGATGTTGTCCCTTAACCAACTTTGCAAATGGTAAATTTGTAATTAAATGAACTATTAAATGGGTAGGTAAATTAGAATGTAGTACTCGTTCTCAATTTATCATTTTATATGCATTTTTTAATTTCTAACTTTTTGTTAGCCTTATCGACATAGGCTTGGCTCCTCTTCAAATTCATTGGTCAAAATAAAGATGTTGATTTTTCCCATTTGTCTTTTACCTTCAAAAGCAAAAGAATAAAGACCCAAATCAACACTCATGGTGGTGGCCACAACGTCCACAACAATAGTGCCATTCTTGCCTTTACTGAATTTCTTTCAAGACCACAAAATGCATATCCCCACCAGGCACTAGGAATATGATAATTGAAGTTTCCATGAAAGAGGTCTATGGCCAGCAATGTAACTTAAACCGAGTTTCAAATCCTTGTTCTATTTATCTCCACTACAAAATGATATAGGAGTCAGCCTATTAGGTTGTCCCAAAAATAGAAAAAGAAAAAAAGAATTGGAATTTGAACAATACAAACAATCCAAAATTTTGAAACAACAATAACAGGTCTCAAAGAACACAAATCAGACCCTCCACATAGAGTAATTACATCGCTTTTGACGACTGTTTGTGATGTTTGATACTTCTTTTACTTTCTCTACAACCACACTGAAGTCAGAATTGAGTCTGTACGAAACTTCCAATCCTTCTAGGGTTAGGTGATACATTATGTCCCCAGAAGAACTTGGGGGCTGCTCATTTCCAGGGCTCGAAGCTTCTTCATCGTGGTCATTGTCTGAACTATCATTCAACTGTTTACCATTTTCTGAGTTAATGAAGGAATCATGAGGTCGATTTCGTTGAGCCAATGATCTAATATCCCATGAAAGCACCTGCTTTATCAAGTTTTGGAACTCGTCTGGTGAAGCATAGAGTGAATTATTTCCCTGCAACAAACCAAATACAGATAGAATGAAAGCTAAGCATAGGAATTGGTGCTTCATAGTTCCGAGATTCTGGAAAGCCTTTGTAAGGACCGGCACAACTCCCCTTTCTACTCTTGTCCCAGTTAATGGGGTTAATTTTTGAACTGTTTTGAAGACAAAGGAATAACATTTCTAAACAGAAGATTTTCATGGCTAATTATTTAGAGTAGAAAACAGCATGCTCTCTTTCCTTTCCCCCTCTTCCCGGGCAAGTTATTTTCTCTTCATAAGCAACAATAAACCTTATACTATCAATGAACTTTTAGTTATACACACTCCGCATTCAACAAAAGTATGTGTTTAATAGAGATCCTCCCAGACGAAGAATAAGATGACTAAGGATAACGCAACCAATCTATCAAATTTGTAAAATTACAATAGACAAGATTAACAATCATTAAATCTTGAGTTGACAAACCTTTCACAACCGTGCAGGGAGTGAAAAAAGGAAGTGGACATCTACTGACCCAGATATGCATGATCTGCTAAGAACTCCCACAGGGATTTTGAAAAAATGCAAGTTAAGAACCTAGATTGATGGAAGACAAAATATAGCAGTCTTATTGATTATCCCCAGGTAGGATGAGGATCTCACAGGATGATGAGTTGTTGGATCTTCTAGACTTTGATTATTGTGGTCTTATCCTCCACTAGATTCAATGCCTAGACCTTGAGTTCTACCAATAATAAAAATGAAGAGAGAACTTTATAGTTCTTTTGATAGGAAAGATAAACACGTATAGTTGTCGTGAAATTGCACACAAGGTAGACCAATTTACAGCAACACAACCAATCCAATGATGGGGCACATATTTGACATCAGCAGTAGTCAGTTTCTCTCTTAGATCTCCAAATTATTCAGGGTTGAAATTTGACATTCAGGTTTCTCTTTCTTATTTTCTTGGATTATCTTCAGGTGTTCAATTACATCCTGTTGATTCCTGCTCTCTTTTCTTTTCCCTTGGCCTTTTATTTTCCTCTTGACAAGTACTTAGGGGCTTAATTCATTGTATTTGTACCATTCACACTGTAGCTGAGTCCCTTTCTTAGGCTTGTTTTTATCTCTTTCCAGTGTTGTGAAGAGTTTGGATTTTACTAGTGAAGTGCTAGTAAGCAAGCTATTGGCGCAATTTGTAAAAAGAACTGAACAATTAGTCAAAGAATACAAAGGAATGGACATTCCCTTTAAAATATGGTAAAGGTGTGATATTTTTAGTAAAGATTAGAGTACTCACTGCCATTTCCCAGCAATCAGCAAGTGTGGAAGTGAACACCTCAGAGAAACTAACAGAAGCTACTGCTAATATACTGTCCGCCTGCAGAATACATGGATTATTAACTTAAAACAAGGAGGGAATTGATGACATAAGTTACCAGAAGAGTACAGACAAGTTAAATTGGCATAGGAAGATGCCTCAGAGGTAGGTATGTTTAGTTTAAAATCACAATACACAGTTGTACACCAATATTTCACAATCTTCGAAATAGGCAATTATATAGGAAAACTGAAATATCTACAACGACTGTAAATGTATAGTTCTCCCTAAATAGATATTTGAAGGTTTTGGTTATCTATTTTCAATGAACAGTTAAACCACGACACGAATCCATGCTGCAAATCTAGTCTCCACTGAAGTGGAGTCTTTATTCAGCACATATGCACTATAGTGTATGAACATCTTTTACCAACACACTACGTGTTCAACCTCCAAGATTAATAGCTGAAAATACTCATGACCATAATGGAAGATAGTTCTCTAATCATGCAAATGGTAAATCTCGTATGTCATGAAACTATAAAATTTACAATGTCATGAGAGACATGGAAATAATACCGCTAACCACTTTGGCACTCTTGCTCCTTGAATGCTGTCGCAGTAGGGAATATAAGGTTTGACATCGAGTACAGGCTGTTGGTAAAAGTAAACCAAATAAGTTTGATTTCTAAACTAAAAAAATCAGAACCAAAGAAAATGGATATGGCCAGCAGGGAGGAAAAATGTAAAACTTACTGTCCCATCAACCAAATCCACACCAGAGAGTAGAAGCATATGCCCTTGTACAGCCTCCACCTAAAGTATACAGTGTAAATTTATAAGATTCAATACTTTCCCTCTTCCATAAGCATATTTTCATTCTTTTTTATGTGACGTCAAAATTTAATTTATGATAGGAACTCATATCAAATGGTACTAAATTTATTTAGTGATGAGAAATAATTAAGAATGGTTATGATAATTGATGACAAAAAGTATAACCGTGTTAATATCATATGAATGATCAATGTTAAATTATAGGCGTCATACTTTACACTGCTTCTCTAAGTGTCATAGATACAAAGGAACTTAGAGAGTTAAGAATAAGGTTAAATAAACTTTTAGTCCTTGAAGCTGGTCAGGTTCCAATTCCTTCCTTGATCAATTTTGTCCTTCAGTAATTGCGTGCTTGCCACTGAGGTATTTTATTGACTATGCCGCACATGCCATGTAACCACCCTAACTAATTTTCTTTGTCATCTTATAAGATTCAATACTTTCCCTCTTCCATAAGCATATTTTCATTCTTTTTTTATGTGACGTCAAAATTTAATTTATGATAGGAACTCATATCAAATGGTACTAAATTTGTTTAGTGTGAGAAATAATTAAGAACGGTTATGATAATTGATGACAAAAAGTATAACCATGTTAATATCATATGAATGATCAATGTTAAATTATATGCGTCATACTTTACACTACTCCTCTAAGTGTCATAGATACAAAGGAACTTAGAGAGTTAAGAATAAGGTTAAATAAGCTTTTAGTCCTTGAAGATGGTCAGGTTCCAATTCCTTCCTTGGTCAATTTTGTCCTTCAGTAATTGCGTGTTTGCCACTGAGGTATTTTATTGACTATGCCGCACATGTCATGTAACCACCCTAACTAATTTTCTTTGTCATCCTATCGTACTATTGAGAGAGAGAGAGTCATGGTCAATATACGTTTTCTTCACATTAAGCACCATGCCACCATTAGCTTCCAGTCAAATGCTGTCGTTGCCACTAAATGGCCTACCTCATAACTATTTCCTCACCATAGTTCAAATCACCATGACTGGTTCCGGAAACTATCTCTTAGGGACAAAAAAGCATTTTGACCAAAGAATAAAATATATGAAATTCTGGAAACAATACATGCAGAAACATATAGCCTGCCTGAGTAAATTGGTTAAGGCAGATTAAGAGGGCCGGAAGCACATGCTCCCTTCAAAAGCTGTATAACCTGCCAGTGTAAATTGGACTTTCTGAATCCATCTTTTATTAGAAGTCAAATTGTTTGAGACTGTAAATCAGACTGGAACAAACTATATATAGTTTGTTAGAAACAGAGCATCCCCACCCAAAACTAATTGGAAATGGGTGGAGAGGCACAACACAAGACATATATCATAATGCAAAGTTTTACATTCCTCATGTGGGATATCTCTCAACACACCCCCTCACATGTGGCATGACATGAGTCAAACACATGGACAACTTAAAAAGGGTGACGTGGGAGACCGTGCGGTCGTTGGGCCTAACATGACCTAACACGTGGATAGCCTACTCGAAGATGTCGGAGAACTAGTAGACCCATAAGCTTAAGCTATTAGGGAATGAGTGCACAATGTATATCAAGTTTACCCTGTTATAGAGGGAGAGAGAGAAACATATAGGTGAAATCCTACTCTGCACATTGCAAACCCACAAGAAGTGGGGAATGGGGACCGGAGGTTTCAAACTGGAAACCAACGTTCTGATGGGTGGAGAGAAAGAAACTACTAGACGGGCTTGGATTGCATGAGATTAGTAAGCTCTGATAGTTCTCGAAAAAAGTACCTGAGATTAGTCTAATGCAGAATCTAGATAAATCTTCTTTCAAGCTACTATAAAAGATGCATATATTCAGCAGCAGTTTAACCTTACCTTGGCAACACTGAGTCCAATGGGGGATGGCCTGTGTGGAGATCTTGTTGCAAAGAGTCCCTTCCTTTCACCGTTTAGTGTTGGCACTCTTACCTATCCATCCAGTCAACCTTTATATAGAGTTAAAAAGAATAATTAATAACTGAAATCACAGAAAGCAGTATACCAGTATTCAGAGGCACACACCTTGGCCTTGAACTTTGACTTAGTTGGATCTTTCCAAAGTTTCTCTAGATTTGTATTTTGATGGAAAACATATATAACCCAGCAGTGAGAATATTCTCCAAGACCCTCAAGTGATGCTGGAGGAACACGAGCTGTATTAAAGATCAAACAGGCCCTCGAGAGAGGCACAAGTACAGGTTGCCTGGGCGTCCCATTCCTGCACAATTAAGAAGTGAAAGTCATCAATGGGACTTCAAAGAAACAAATTTGCATGCACAACAAATATGCAAATTTTGTCTTGGCGAGATCAAACATGCACTTTTTGAATTCCTTTTATGTTAACAAAGGAAGAAACAAATCTCAGGGAATTGTAGATGACACTGGTAAGCTCAGGAGAACTAAAACCCTGCAAAACTAAGCATGCACAAGCATGAGGTGCAACTGCAAAATAAAGGTTGCCTAGTATGCTATTCAGGCACCAATATAAACTGCATGTTTGGGTATAGAAGTGCGGCATATCACTCTAACTCTATGATAAAACTAAGCTTCAATATTTAATTTATCTATATGATTCCTTTTTCTTTGGCAAATGACAGGAATACATCCCACATACCCACTGGGGATTGAACCCCTGAACTTAACCTCAACCCTTATTTTCTAGAGGGAGAAAGGTGCCACTAAACCCAAAGACTATTGGCTATCAATATGAATGTTTAAAAAAAAATTATGGGAAGACAATCTAACTTTTCTAAGCACTATTGACAGTTTTCACCATAATTTGATTTTGCTACACATACAAACATGTACAAAAGCATGAATGGCAGAGCATTTGCAAAAATTTTACAAAACTCAAAAGAAAATAAAAATGATTCCAATTAACTCATTTCTCGATTTGGAAAGTAATATTCTTTGGATATCTTTATCCAGTCTGTCTGTCTGATCTTTATATTTTAAGTCCTTGAGTATCATCAGATTTATTCAACAAATTCATGAAGAGTAAACACTTCTAGTGATCCGATCTGGCTATTCCTCACTCACCTAATTACTCTAGGTGCAATAAATTATTTACTTATCATTTTGATAAATGTGTGACATAAAAATGCAGTCAAGGAATGAGAAACAAAGATCTCTAGTTTGGAATACCAAACGACGCCCACCCAAATACCTGGTAGAGAAGCATGACTGGATGACACCAATAGGTGCCATGGGGTAAGATGTCAGCTCCACATTTTCCAACTTAGGTTGCGTTAGTGCTTTCCTCAAAGCCTCCAATACAAAATGAAAAGATCTTAGCAAGTAGAATAGAAATGTGTGATGACATATGAAGGGCCAATGATAAGAATCAATATACTTTCAGCTCATTGACACTGAGATCCTCATATAATATGAAATGAACACAATTATGATCTAGGCAATGCGTAAGCATTTACGAAATGAACATAGACAAATAATTAGGGGACTTGGATACCAAGCAATCAAATTTCCAGTTACATAGGTATATATTCAATAAACCAATTCAATTAAATACAGAAACACTGCCCTCTACTCTCAGTTAGATCTCTGAGAAAGTGCAAAGATAATTATTTTCAAGTAAGATTCTTTTTTTTCTTCTTCAAAGAGGCAAAATAAGGCCATTACTAACAGTCAGCTTGTTAAAGAGGCAAAAGGGTCAGTATCTTTTGGTTTTTTTTTGGTGGGGGAGGAGGTGGGAAGAAAAGGGTACCTGCTGAGCCCGAATTCGGCCTTGCCTTTCAGCAGCACAATTGTCTAAGGAGGCCTTGAGAGATTTCTCGAGCTCTCCAATCTTGGAATCCAAATCCCTCGATTTTCTTTTCCAAAAATACACTGTTACAGACCAAAAGAACAATAAACTACAAGAACCCAATGCAACACAAAAGGAGAAAACAAAATTTGTATACATACAAGAAAAGGCAGTGGAGGCGGAGAGAGCTGCGAGCGCAAAGGTTATGGTGGCTGTAAACCATTTTGATTCTGTGCTGTAGCCCATCGATTCTCACTGCTAAAACTTCTTTTGGGTTTGAAAATGCATTCGCTAAACCAGAGTTGTAGGTTGAAATTATGGAACTCTCTCAGCTGCTGAGCGCTTGCTGCTGCCAACTCTGTTTGATTAGCCGAAGGAGAGAAATGTTTTGAGTGCCTTAATTAGTTAGCACCCGCCAAGACCTATTAAACTACCTCTCCCCCGATTTTTCTAACCCTAAGTATTAGGGGTATAGTTAATTACGATTTGACAGGATTTTGAAATACTTTTGGCGTATATTTTAAGTGACTTACAGATTCGACGTTTGAATTAGCAGGGATGTATCCAATCCATATTTAAGGAGAGTGTATTCAATTTAGATTTTAAATTTTAGAAGAGTTATAAAGTTGATGGAGTTTAATTGAATTTAATTGAGTTTGATTTAAATCCATATTTAATTGATTGGATTCGTATATAGATTTTAACTGAGTTTGTTAGAATTTTATTATTGATTTTAATGGAGTTTATAGAGATGGTGGTGGTAGTGATGGTGATGGTGATGGCAATGGCAATGATGGTTTGTGGAGGAGGTGGGGGTGGTAGTGATGGTGATGGTGGTGGCGGTGGCAGTGATGGTGTTGATATGGTAGTGGCTGTGGTGGTGGTGACAGTGGGGCTACTAATGGGGGTGGTAGTGGTGGTGGAGATGGGGGTAAGGGTGGTGGCCGTGGTGGTGACAATGTGGGTGATGGTGGTGGTGGTGTTGGGGGGTGGCGGCGATGGTTGTGGTGGTGGTGACGGTGGCGATGACGATGACTGTCGTGGTAGTGGCGGCGAGGACGTCAATGATGATAGTCATGATAAGATGGTAGTAATAGAAGTGGTGAAATCATATCTTGAGAATAAAAATAATATATCTATCAAAATCTTTGGAGGGAAGCAAAGATTTGTCATGGCCTAAAATTAGTTTAATATCAAACAAAATCCACCACTTTTTGTATTTCTTTAAAATCAATGAGTTTTTGAATACACCAAAACTTTAATGAAGTCTTTTAAAATTGTGAGTGAATACATCTAAATTTGAAATGGAATTTAAAAATTCTAAATTGAATAGACTTCTATAAAATCGTGATTGAATACACTTAAATTTTTAAACTTCTTTAAAATCTTTTAAAATCTAAATTGAATACACCCCCCCTAAGGGTGTATCTAATTCAAATTTTTACAGTGGGTTAGGGTTTTTGGGATTTTGATAAAAGTCGGAATTTCTATATTGATATGAACCAATTTCTATGTTTGGATTAAAAAAAAAGAAATATAGAAATTTTGTAAGGGAAAAAACATGGAATTTGGAGGTCATAAATACCAACTTTAAATTATATATAAAAAGTTGTCATTTCTAAAATTCAAAAAGAGATTGAATTTTTTTTCTTTCATAAAGATACAAATAGAGGTTAAATTCCGTATTTAAATCCATTACCCAAACAAGAAACTTTACAAATTCTAGAACATTAATTTCCATAATTTCAAATTCCATTATTTATGAATTCATTTGTACTTTTAAATTTCTTCATCCAATTTTTTTTATTTTATATATAAAGTTTAAAAGTTTGGAGGCATTCAATTTAGATTTCTAAAGAGTTTATAAAAGCCTGGTGGAATTCAATTGTGACATTTAAAAGTAGTTAAAAATATTTAAAAGTTTAGTGGTATTCAGTTATGACTTTTAAAAAGTCTTTAAAAGTTTGGCAGTATCCAAAAAGTTAATGACTTTTAGAAAGCTTATTTTAAGGCTAATTGTTAAGAGCAAAAGTCATGCCAATTTACTAGTGACTTTTATCAACTCTATGAAAGTATTTACAAATTTGTCAACTCTATGAAAGTCACTCACTTAAAAAAAAAGTCTTTATAAGTATGGATTAGATACACCCCCTTAATGACTTACATGATTTTATTTATGGATTTCTATGATTAAGATTTTTTACTTATGAATTTTAAAAGATTTATAGCTTTTGCTATTAACAATTAGCCTTAAAAGTATACAAAAGTCATTAACTTTTTGGATACCACCAAATTTTTAAAGACTTTTTAAAAATCACAACTGAATACCACCAATCTTTTAAATACATTTAAATAGTTTTTAAAAGTCACAATTAAATACCAAATGGCTTTAATAAACTTTTTAAATTTCTAAATTGAATACCTCCGAATTTTTTTATAAAAGTCTTTTATCAAAGTCTTTAAAAGTGTGAATTGAATACACCCCCTAATATCTTCAACATACTCTATTTGTTCTTAGATCCAAATGACTGAAATTTTGCTCAAGAAAGAAAGTTGCTCTTAAAAAATGCACATAAAAGCTCTCCCAATACATAAATCTTCAACATGAATTTTCTACTTCGACAAGTCATTCAATGCTACAATACATCTCACTTAGGATTCCTAAAAGCAATATTGATAACTAAATCCCCAAGGAGAAATGTCTTGCTGATGAATATGTCCTTGTTAATCGATTGGGCTTTTTTGCTTTCATTTTCAAGTCTTTGGCACCTCAGTCCACATCTCCCTACTTAGTAACCATTATCTAGTAAAAAGCTGATTTTGCAATATAACCAAGGTCAAGTTTTCATTCAAGAGCTCAAGCCTAAAAAATATTAGTCATAAAAAGAAAACCAAATTAAAGGCCTAATAACAACTAAGAATCTATAAGCAACGTGTACAACTCAGAATATGTTAAGCATTGTGCCCGACTCAGAATCAGTTATAACAAGAACTAAAAACTCCAATATGCTTAGCTAAGGTATGCTTAGCTAAAGTCGTAGCATGATGTTTCCCTCTTTTCTGAGGTGGCAGATGGAAGCACTTTGGGCTTTCTTCTTTTAGATTGTCTAGGCGTGCTACCACAAAGACATTGAATGACAAGTTTGGATTGTTGTGTTTGTGCTTCTCACTTCTAACCAGTCGATTGATAAACCAAGCAAGGAACCTTCTCTTGACCTAGGTCCTTTAACATCCTCGTGGTCAAGGATTTCTAGGATTTCTATCAACTTCTTGGTTGACATCAACTTCATTGATTACTTTTCTTCTAGGATTTCTATCATGTGCAAATAAGCCTTCGGAAGTTTTGAGTACAACTTCATGGGTTGGGCTTGGACTTCCGAGTGTGGATACTTGGTCTGATTGCTAGGAACATCGCACTCTTAGAGCTTCAGACTTGGTTGAAAATCCAACAGGGTGGATGGCATGATGACCTCTAGGTTAATGTTAGAAATATGCCTTAAAGTCAAACATGTGATATTGCTTTCTCGATAGTTCATCATCACTAATAGGCATGATCTATATTGCACGGACACGGGTACGGGGACACGGGAACGCGACACGGGGACACGGCGACACGAGAAATTTTAAAAAATTAGGACACGGACACGGCTAGGACACGGCAATTAAAATAATAATAAATTTATAATAATTATACATATTAAAAAAATAAAATATTTATGTTTATACTTAATTTCATAATACCATATATATATATATGATGTAATCCAACCTTTCTAACCCTTTCCAAATATAGTTTTTTTATTTTATATTAAGTTGATATGAATTATTATAAAATTAGCATATTAATTAAATATATATACGTTTTGTTGGCTGGGTGGGTATTGGACAAAAGAATTTTTGTTTTGTTGGATAATCGTCTATTATATTGGGTAATATTTTGGATTTAATTGGGGTGGGGGTGTAGTTTGTGGTTGTGTAGTTGCCCCACTGAGGCAATTTGCTTTATCACCAATGACTTTATCTCTTTTTCGTTTTTTTATTCAGTATTCAAAAACGACCTCGTTTGGGCAAAGTAAAAATAGGGTATCACTATCAGGATATCTTCTTCATTCGCAAAGCAACGCCGCAACCTCCATTTACACTACCTCTGCAACTTTTCATCTGCTAATTGAGCGGTGCACTACGTAGGAGGACCACATCATTGAGGTGATTATTGGAGCTTCCAGGCAATGGCCTCGATTCGCTAGTCACCCAACGCTTTCTCTGCAACCTTTCAAAAATTCCCCGCCGTGTCTTGACCATGAGTTTGCCGTGTCGGGAGTCTCTTGACTGTGTCCAAGGAGTTGACCTGTGTTCAAGGCGTGTCGGAGGCGTATCTGGGCTGTGTTCTAGTGTCCGAGTGTCGGACACGCCGACGCTTCAGCTCACTACCGTGTTCGTGCAACATAGGGCATGATCGTTGTTTTTAACAATGATATTTGGTCTGTTATCATAACGGTAAAACAACAAGTCCATGGAATATGAAATAATATGAGACCTATGCAATGAGATTGGATATAAGAAGACCTCTCATACTTCCACATTATTTCCTAAACGTTCCCGGTCATAGGATTATCAATTGGGCGTTGATGATCCACAAAAACTAGTACACATTATATTTGGTCAATTAGGAGAATAACTAGTCTCAAGTCATTGCTTTGTAGAGACACTAAACTAAGTGTGTAGATGCTTATAGGGACAAGTACATTGAACGCGATCAAACTACGAAATCTAGGATGAAAGTCTTACTCACATGTCAAACTAGAACTCATAAGTTGCAATAGTGCAAACTAATCCTCAAACCTAAGATATCATAATTGTCTTGTGGAGGAGTCATTTGTCTTTGATATCACTATACGATCATTGAAAGAAAAATGAATCAAATGTGATTTTCAGGATTTTCGACAAGCTTACAGAGGGAAGTGAATGTATAAAAAGGATCTCTGCTCTTAGTAATGAGAGAGAATGTTCCAAAGATATGATTGGAAAATCTTTGCAAAGTATTGGATATGATTAGAAAAGAAGTTTCTAAACATAACCAATGTAATCATATAAGTGGAAAATTCATATTAGGGTTTTGATAAAAGTATCCTTACCATAATAATATGAATTAGGAGCACTATAATAATGAAGGACTCAATTGCATCAATTGCAAAAAAATCAAACTTGAATAGGTTCTTCACATTTTCTAATTAGCTTGGGTTGCCATGGCTTGTGGAAGGGTAAGGCCTGACATGTTTAATTCAGATTTTTTTCTTATAATTTCTTTTATATTATGGTATTTTTGTGAATAGGGCTTGACGTAATGATTTACCTAAGCTTATTCCAAGTTTTTAGGCCCAAGATACTTTAATTTATGAAAGCCCAAGCAGGTTAGTGTGAGTGGGCTGACCCGCCTATACGCTTTAAGAGGTTAGCTAGGGTTCTAGCACTAGGGTTAGGGCTGGCCCATTAGATGACACATTTAAAAGTGAGCTTTTTAGGGTTTAGCTCAGCTAGTTACAGAGTAAAAAACATAAAAAAAAAAGTGAGAGAGAGTTTGGAAAAGGTAAAAAGGAATTTCTTGAGGCAGACTAACATCTTGAGCTTAGAGATGAGGGTTTGAGAAGGTAACAATTGTTTCTCCTTTTGAATTTTTGATATTAAGCCACTAGACATCCCAAGATTTATGTATATATAAAGATCTTCGAAATTTGACAATGTAAATTATGGGGATTTTTCAAAGTTGGTCCTTTGACATTGATTCTAGTCTTCCAGTTACGAATATCAGTTTCATAATTGGTAGACGACATGGAATTTGAACTCCATTTGACCTAAAGTTTTGGTATGATCAAAAGAGTGATGGCTACTATGACTCTGTAAAATCTCGTGGTCATGGGAGTATTTTATAACAAGTTTATGAAGTGGACTAGGTCAGGATAGGATGACTTGATAGACTATCTTTAGGAACAGATTGAGTCTTTTATGGACTTATATTTGATACTAAAACGACTCAATATTTTTAACCTAAGTAGATTAAGATCTTTGATTCATGCCTATGAATTTTCATGATTTTTGTAAAATTCATGTGGTGGCTGAACACCACCGTTCGACAGTTGAAATTCTAATTTAGGGTTTCGTTTTTGGTATTCTTTTCAGGGCCTAAATAGTGGAGTTTTGTTTTCAAATTTTTACCCTAAGACTCCATGTATGTCTATTTTAAGCATACCAATTCTGGAACCGTTTCATGTTTGGTAGAATTTGCGGACATTATTTGAGTACACACTGCCAGTACCGTGAAAGTATATATAACCAGATGTCACCTACTTCTATTTATGAAGTTATGAGAATCAATCAGGGCTATACTATACTTATTCTGAAAGCTATGGGGATTTAGTTGTCTTTTTCTTTTAAGGATCCTCCTTCACACTTTGATTTTGCCCTGCAACAACTGGTTCATTTAGAAGCAGTGAAAATGAATGAGAACGAGCACGGAGAACTGGTATGGTTTGAGAACTTGCGATTGACCCCCATTTAGAAGCATTTGACTTCTTGTTGCTTCCAATACAATTAAAGCCTCATCAACCTCCTTTCACCTCTATCTGAAATTTGCACACCACACAAGGTCAAGGCCCTTGATGATGAAGCACAAAGTTAGGGCATCGTTCAAATTTTTTTCTGTATCACGTGTGTTTCATGTGATACACATTGAAAAATGGCCAACAGGTTTCTAGGTATGTCGATTCAACACATTGGATGTACCTATATAGTGTTGGCGTGATATTAGTCTATATTAATATAGGTTAATAGCTGTAATAGTTGACTTTGTATACCTAGTATGTCTTATATAAATACCTCAGAATGAGAAGAACAAAACAATCCAGTTCATTCTAAGTTGGTATAAGAGCAAACAATGTGATTTGCTCTCTTACTCTTTTTTCACACTGAAACACAAAATCTTAAATTAACCATGTTGCCGGTGTGGCTACCTAAGGTTGCTTACCCTATTTTGTGCTGCTGCAAGCCTCTGCCATCTTCACCAAGGGAATATTGGCCTTGGTGCTATTATTCCTAACTCTAATAGCTGTTACAAGCCGTCAAACCCTAAAAAGCTTGCTACATATTTTTTTTAAACCATGAAACCTAATTTCGTTGTAACTATGTCTACTCCTACAAGTGACTCAAACCCATTTTCCTCTTTATTAGAGGCTTCTCTTCATATGACCATTCAACAAGAGGTTTCTTCTTCTCCAATTAACGTCAAGCTTGATGGAATAAACTATCCTCTTTGGCCCACAGTCCTGGAGATGCATATAGAGGCTCGTAAGAAATATGGCTATATATTTGGAGCGAAGATTGAACACAAGGCATTTGATCCCAAGTTTGAAGAGTTAGTGGCCGAGAATGCTCTAGTGAAGTCATGGTTGATAAATTTCATGTATACTAATATGATGCTGAACTTTATTCAATGTAGAACAACTAAGGATGTTTGGGATACTGTGAAGAAGGTATATCATGATGCCTCTGACTCTTCTCAGGTTTATGAATTGATAAAGACGTCTTTTCAACTTCATCAAGATGGCCAGCCTTTATCGTCGTTTGAATGACTTAGAAAACCCTTATGATATTGCTAAATTGAAGAGGTGTACCTCTGAAGAGTGTGTCTGCTTACTCCTCGCAATCCACAATCTTGACCAATTCTGTAGTCGAGTTTTCCCATTGTTCCCCTCCTTGCTTCGTAAAGAGGCTCAACCTCAAGCTACCGCGGCTGCTAAAGGTAACTTTGAGGCATCGGCCTTAGTGGAAAAGAAGCGTCCACCTCAACTCACTCTTCTTCGCTAGATTCTATTGAGAAAACTTTCACTTACTATAATGGCAAGAAACATGTAAGGAAAAATTGCTGGAAATTGGTTGGATATCCAGAGTGGTTTAAATTGAAACATGTTGCACGCAAGGATAATAAAAAATATCAGGCTAACTCAGCCTCATCCGATGCACCACCAAAAGCCACTGCCTCTTAGGTTTGACTTGACTTTACCATTGCAAGTAATATCAGCTATGCTTTAGCTTATAAATCTACTCGGGCCTAAGTTGATTTAGTAGCCTCTGATCACTTGACTAGTGATTCTTCGAGGTTTGTCTCTCCTACTAAACCTCATCAAAGTTCAGTTAAAGTTGCTAATGGTAATCTTACTTATGTCCAAGGAGCTGGTTCTCTTTCTTTGACTCTCATTGTCCTTTGTACTATATGTTTCATGCCTCTCAAATAACTTGCTCTATGTCCGTCAAAGTACAAAGAGATTAAATTTTTATGTAAACTTCTTTCCAAGTTATTGTGTTTTTCAACACATTCTCACCAAGTTGACAATTAGAATTGGTAGGGAGAGGGGTGATTTATGTTACTTTGAGGAAGCCGAATGCATTAAAGCTGACGGGATCATATATTAGAAAGGGAGAAGATTATGTTATGGCATCGCCATTTAGGGCCCCCCCCTTTTTTTTTTTTTTTTTTTTTTTTTTTTTTTTTTTTTTTGTTTTTGTTCTTTCCAGTTTATTTTCTTTAGTTTTTTTTTGTTTCTAGGTTTTAGATGTGAAGATTGCATGCTTTACCAAAGAATCATCATGTTACCTTGAAACATTCTTCAAATTAAAAGTGATAATAAGCCTTTCTTATTATATAACACTGATGTTTAGGAACTATTATCTACTTATACTTCTTCTAGTGCCAAGTTTATTTCATTTATCGATGATTGTACTAGAGTTTGTTGGATTTATCTAATGAAGCAGAAAAGCGATGAGGTTTCTATCATTCCCACATTTTACCAACTGATTTGTACTTAGGGGTGGGCATGGGTGGGGTTGGGTTGGGTTAGTTTTAGTCCCAACCCGTAACCCACCAATGTATAGTAGTTTATGATTTCTTGGACCCAATACCCGCTCATTATTAGACCAACTCAACCCAAAACAAATTTTTTGCAATCGGGTTGGGTGGTTCGATCGAGTTAACTCAAAATTAAGCATACTTTTAAGTTTTGATTCCAAGCCGTACATAAAAATTTATGATTTTTTAAAACCAAGATCTGTTCATTTTTAGGCCAACCCAACCCACTATGACCGGGTTGGGCGGCTCAGTTGAGTTGACACAAAATTGTGCCCACCCCTATTTGCACTTAGTTTAATGCTCTGATTTAGTTGTTTCAATATGATAACGAAAAGGCATACACCTCAACAAGACTCTTACGAATTTTTTCAACCAACATACCAAACGACTTTTGCTTATATCCCTCAACAAAATGGTATAGCGGAGCTTAAGAATCACAATTTATTCAAGGTGGCCAAATTCTTGTGTTTCATTATGCATGTCCTAAACAGGTTATGGGTGATGCTGTCATGTTTACTGCCTTTGTCGTTAATCGGATGCCCTCTTGTGTCTTAGCTTATCAAACACCTCTTCAAGTGTTGTCTACCTTTCACCATATTCCTGGTATTCTTCACATGGCTCTAAAGGTAGGTGGCTGTGTTTGTTATGTCCACATTTACTCTCAACACACGGATAAATTGGATCTACGGGTTCATAAATGTGTTTTCTTGGGCTATTCGTCCATCCAGAAACGGTGCAAGTGTTTTCATTCTCCTATTAGAAAATTCTACACCTCCATGGATGTGGCATTTAATGCATGGGAGCTATTTTTCCGGGAGAGCATCCAATTCTCTCATTCCAAGGGAGAATTCAGGTTGTGAAGGTGAGACTTCCGCAGGTTTGGGGTTTTGTGAGAATTTTGCTTATTTGGAATTTTAATCTTAGGGGGAGCCAAGCTTTGAACATCAGGGAGAACCCCCATCAAGGGCATAAGGAAGTGATCCTTCTGAAGCTTCCCAATATCTCCCCATTGTTTCAGCTCCGGTTATCCACAAAAATTCTCAAAAGAAGGAGAACTCTTCGGATAAAAATGAAACAGATTATGCAGTTAACACCTTTTACCATTCCAATTGGCTTCCCGTGAGAGTGCCCTTGTAGTAATACAATATGAGGTATAAAGGTGTAATAACAATTCAGAACCTCTTTCTTTGGTTCAACTTGATGAAGCTCAAGAGCAGAGATATTCTACAATGTGAGAAATAAACCAAATCGGTTTGGTTTCTCTTCTACTGATAGTGTTAACTATCCTGCCTCTAATTATGTGACATGTCATCGTCTTTCCAAGTCTCATATAGCCTTTCCACTCCAGTTGTCTTATGTGTCTCTTCCTAAGTCTTTTCAGGAAGCTATTGAGGATCCAAAGTGTAAATATGCAATGGTAGAGTAAAGAGAGGTTCTCTAGAAAAAATGCTATATAGCGAATCTTCCTAAGGAGAAGAGAAATGTAGGGTGTAAATGAGTGTTTATGATTAAGCATAAACCAGATGGGTCAATTGAGAGTTACAAAGCCCGACTTATAGTGAAGGGTATACTCAAACTTATGGAGTCGATTACTTTGAGGCATTTGCTCTAGTGGCTAAGATGAATAGAATGTGGGTTATTTTATCCCTTATTGTTGTAAGACCTATGAGCCCTGAAGGATGCAAGGCAAGAAGAGGCAAGATTAGTGAACAATCCCACATCACTCTGGGACGGAAAGGTGAAGTTTCATATATGTGTGGGCACTATACTTCCTAGCAAGAGGCTTTTTGGGCAAGATAATATAAGCTTGAACCCAGGAACAAAATAGTGAGGGCCTAGGCGCAAAGCGAACAATATCTTCTAGTGAAGCACGGTCATGACAGGTGCAAACTTAGATTGGCCACTAAACCAATTTGAAGTAAAAAAAAAAAAATACTTTTATGCATGTAGACTTACTGGAAGAAATTTACATGGATCTTCCTCAAGGATTTACACCTATGGGGAAAAGTGTGTAACCTAAAAAGAGCGTTTTATGGCTTGAAACAGTCACTTAGAGCTTGGTTTGGCAGATTCAGTCGTTCTATGAAGGGGTAAGGGTTCAAGCAGTCTCAAGATGGTCATACTTTATTTATTAAGTGTGATGGTGATTGTATTTGTAGATGACATAGTGGTTACAAGAAATGATACACAAGAGATTGAGGAGCTTAATAATTACTTAGCTAAGCAATTCGAGATGAACAATTTGGGAGCTCTAAAATATTTCTTAAGAATAGAAGTGTCTGGATCTAAGCAAGGGATATTTCTATCCCATTGCAAGTACATCCTCGACCTTTTGGTCAAAACTGGCAAGTCAGCTTGTGAACCAATTGACACTCCAATAATAGTGAATCATAATTTGACAATTTATCCAGGTCAAGTACCAACCAACATGGGGAGATATCAATGGTTGGTTGGGAAGCATTTATGTTGCTCACAATATTCATGACTTGTCATATGCAGTTAGTGTGGTAAGTCAGTTTATGCATAACCCAAGTAATCAACATATGGAGGCGGTGGACCGAATCCTCCAGTATTTGAAGTTATCTTATGGTAAATGTAACTTGTTTTCTAAGAATGGGCACTTGAATGTAGAGGGTTACAATGGCTCTAAATTATGCAGGATCTAAACTTGATAGTTAATCTACATCTGATTATGTGTCATTTGTTGGAGGCAATAGCAAAAGTGTTTTTGTCTAGTGCATCAGTTGAATACAAAGCTCTCCATCACGCTATTATAGAATTGATTTGGCTGAAGATCTTAATGAAAGAGCTTGGATTCGGTTCAACGAAACCAATGGTGTTGTATTGTGATAAGACAATAGCCATTAACATTGCTAATGACTTTGTCCAACATGACAGAACTAAACACATTGCGGTTGAAAGAAATTTCATCGAGATAATCTTGTCAATGATGTCATTGAAGTGCCCTACATCAAGCGTGCAGACTGGAAACGGCGAATCCACAGTGGAGCAAGGGTTGACCCCCGTAACATTGGAATCCGCAGTCTGCAAACTGGTGGATGGCTGAGCAATTCATGCCCATCACATGTTCGAAGAAATGCCCCAATGGGCGCAACCAACTTCAGCGCTGATTCGGTTCTTTTTAAGCTTGATGGTGCTCTTGCTATTTGTATGTCAACAAGCCCTATCTTTTTAAGGCTTAGGATTTTTTTATATAGTAAATTTAGGTTTTAGCCACACAAAAAATTTCACTTTTGGAAAAAGTCAAATTTTTTTCAAAAAAAAAAGAAAAACTTCTCAATTTTCAAATCAAAGACATGAAAATGTAAATAATTCTTTAGGAAATCAAAAAATAAATAAGGACAATTTTGTCCATTTTGGCTTCTTTTAAAAAATTTCTCTCTTCTTTGGTCTTTTCCAAAGTCTCCCTTTATTTTTTTCGGTCGCTCAGTCTAACCAGAATCATATGCTCCCAATTAAAGAAGACGATGGCGTGTTGAAAGTGCGGGCAACCAAAGAACCCAAATAAAACAAACAACCCAACCCGATAATCAAATATTAAAAAAAAACCAACCCAACCCAACAAGAAGAAAATAAATTTAACATTTTTTTTCCTACATTTTCGATAAACATTTATTATTGAGATTTGAATGGAAAAATTACTTTCCCAAAGAAAGAAAAACTTTTGAATAAAATGATTTACAAAGACAAATGATAATGATAAGAATGAAAGTAAACAAATAATCTACTTTTTTATAATAATAAAAAATAATCTACTTACATGTATTAATAAACACATCCAAAACCTAGATTATAAATTATCTTCTTGCTTACTTTTAGACACAAATCAATATTATATTATATTGTTTTTGGGTAATGAATAAGCAGCTAATTATTTATTTCGAATGACTTTTTTCTAATTGGGAGATGTAACTTGTTGTTAGACATGAAAAAACAATAATTGTCATCAATATGGAGAAGGGGGAAAATTTGCTCATCATGTGAATAAACAAAAAATAAAAAATAAATAAATAAAATCAAATTATAACACTAAATGCCAGAGTTAGCCCTTCATTTGTATGAGTTTTTTCTCCAAAATGTCTGTTGGCATTTTACACGTTGACCATCGGAAGTAAAATTTCTAGATTCGCTACTGCAGACTAGCTAGTTGACATGATGATTGATGGTGTCTCTAGCAAAAGGTATCGTCCAAGTTGAATTGAAAGGCATTTCCACTCGTACTGTCCAAGTTGAATTGAAAGACATTTCTACTCGTACATGCGGTCAAAGTTTTCTGGGTCAGTTATTGCCGTTCAAGTTTCGGTTGGCTTTAGTTATGGACACTCAATTTGTAGAGATTTTCAACTACTTTAGAATCAACTTCTACATGTCTAACATATGAAACTCTACATGACGAGCCACATCCCAATGTCCCATTACATATTTCTTTTGCATACATTATATCCTTTGTACATCGGCTAAGCTCTTAATCTGTCATACATTATGGGCCAAACTTATCGATGTTATAGAACTCTATGTTCTTGTACTTTTGGGATATTATCTCTGCTTGAACTTTTCTCGCAGTGTCAGTTGCGCAACCAACAAGAATGAGAACAGATGTGCCTGCGAATCCCCGAAATGCAGTCAGGTGTGTGACTTGTTCAATCACAGAAGGACCAGCAGCTAGGATTGCCAGAAAGGCTGAACCAAGAACTGATATTCGACTTAGAACCTACATCAAACCGTCAAAAGACATTAACAACAAATCCATGCCAATTTTAGCAAACAAGATCTAACTTTCATTATGATTGTCAAGTGTTCTGATAGAAAACCAGTGCATTCACAACGGATTAAATGATGAGATACACAGCACTGCATAAAGGAAGAAATGACATATAATGGAGAGAACTTTGAAGCAAATTACTATTTAGCAATAATCTTCACTGAAAGTTGAATTGAATTGTAACTGAAAAATAAATAAATAAACATGAATTCGATCAGGATGGTGGGTAAAAAAATGCTTTGAGAATCAACCCTTGAAGCCATGAATATGCTATACTAGTAGGCATTACTCTAAAGAAAAAGAAAGACATAATATCAGATTTTTATATATTATAATTTTACATTTACAAGAGAGAGGGAGAGAGAGGGCAACCAGAGATAAGGTAATCAAGAATTCCGTGTGTTCAAAAATTGAAACTAGGCTTTTTTATTTTTTATTTTTTCCACATTCTCACAGCACAAGGCAAATAGATTCACTACAGTGCTATTGGAAAGGGGAAAAAACCGAAGCACTACAAATTAGTCTCCTCTTTTTAATCAGTAATATAAAAGGACTGCAACCAGTTACCAGTGAACATCCAAGAAAACTCATTAAGGTAAATAGCCAAGAGGGTTCAGCAATCCATGAGTTATCCATGATAACTGATTGTTAGCATGCAACTAATCAGACTTCCAATATAGACAACCAGATGCTTATAATCTTCACCTTCTTTGCATCACAGGTTGATAGGTTGATGCCACTTCACAAGTTGATAAATGGACATCACTTGAAAAAACAACGAAACAACACTGCTTATGCATTATCACAAATAACTCCAGAATGAGATTCCGTATGGCTAATTGAATATCAAGCTGACTGATTAAACACTCCGAACTTGTACTGCAAATAACTAGATAAATAAAGAAGAAAATTACCGTCTTCAGAAATGCAGCTGTACTTTTACCCGGTCGTACGAGTGGAATTGATGCACCTTGGCGCTTCAACTGTTCACTCACATCATCAGGATCCAACTGTAGGAAAGTGTAGTAGTAGTTGAAGAAGGCTATTAAGAGGATGTTGGTGGGGAGATAGAGAGAACCTACAAAGAGTTAGCTGGAAATTTTTAGGCTATCCAATGTTCCAACTGCTAAAACTAGAAAGTAAGTGCTAATTAAACAGCGAAGGTTTCCTCTTCATTCAGTTTATTAATCCAGTCCTTACCATGGATGCTATAATTACAGCCTCCAAAAAGGAAATTCATGAGAATTTAACCACAAAACATACTAGTTTCATCTCAGAACTCTGTAAAGAGAGGATCCCTTGATAAAATAAGACCAAACAAAAAAAAAAAAAAAACTATTAATACCAAAGTCCAGTTACAATTAAAGATTGGGAAGGAATAAGGCATCTGCGGTTCATAATCAAGAAGACTGTCAAGTTCTAATTCAGAAGAAGTTGACAGAGCAATCTGTTTGATGATGCACCAGATGTCTAGAACAATATGGGAGAATTGTGGAAACATGTAGCAGCTTTTGAAGCCCGATGATGTCAGTTGAAATGAAGATGGTATATAAGCCAAAATATAGCTCTTCATTTATCTTATGAACTGTTCATGTTCAACAACTACCACCACTAAAAAGTGCAATTCTTACCCCCTGGGTTTAAAGCCACTGCACTATTCTTCAATGCAGCCAAACCAGTGAAGCGTGCTAGAGTACCAGGAAGAGTAATGATGACGTAGAAAATATTATTGGCATAACTCCAGAACTATTCACCTGTTTAGTTGGATTAATTAGATAACTACAAAAATTAAATATATTTTTACAATCTGGCATAAGGAAAGAAATATGATCTCTGTAAATTAGAGAAAATACAAGCAGTATGCAATATAAAGTATAAAGCAAGAATGAAAACAAAGGGATTCAGAGAGAGAGAGATACAAGGTGGAGAGCAGTCCCCTTTTATGGGTGAGGGATGGTTCCCTCTTCTTACAATAAGTCGATGTGAGACTTCTTGTTATTGCTCCTGGTGATAGTGCTTCATTGGCTAAGGAGATGGCCTCTCAACGTATGACGCGTGGTTGGTTTGGAAGAGTTGGTTGCTTGGCCAGTCACGGTACCAACAACCTTTTTGGTTCGCAAAGTTCCCAAATAGCGTAAACTATTTACATGAAATTGCCAAATAACATACACATCGACGCTGTAGAGTTGTAGCATGCACGAAATGGGCTTTTTTTAAAAAGAAAAATTTATGGACTCAAACAACGCCGTTCCAGTCCCAGGCACTTAAAACTCTTAACAAATTCACAATATACCCTTTTGAAACACGCCAATAGCTCTGTAGTATGTGCTGCCTCCAAATAAAATAAACCCTAAACCTCGAATTCGCCATAAAATTGAAAGCAAATCCATCAAATATATACATATACACAGAGAGACATCTATCTCAATGCGCAGCCAATATTCAGGATAGCAAAAGGTGCATTGGACGGAACATCCATAATATCAAAAGTCAATGACTAGACTAAAATCTAAAATGATCATTACGGTTCAAGATAAAACTCCTGTTAGGAACTGAAAAGAAAAATACTACTACTACTACTAGTTTATTAGAAAGTATCCAGAATCTTATTGCTGAGATGGGAGAGTCAGTGACAATGTTGTAGTTCTACAATGCCGCCATTAATACTATCAAACATGGATATTGTCTCAATCCAGTTGTTCTACTATCTATCTTTTGACAAGAAACATCAGATTAAGGAATTGTTTTGTGGACTGCCGCGAAAGGCTTTGTATAAAAGATATTTCACTTTTATATGATAGAGATCCCTCACTAACTAGTTTCAAATGTTTCCAAGTATGTCCAGACTAATGTTTTCTAATCATTAGAATTATGAACATAAAAGCTTGTGAAAATCTAAAACTTCAGAGAATTAAGAAGCTGAAGTACAAACCTTAAAGGGTAGGTAAGCAGATCTTTGAAGCCCTCCACTTCTGCTGCTGTTGTATCTTGAGGCATAGTTAAGTGGAATTTTCCTCTCTGCTTCCTGAAACCCTTTGTTTAGATCATTGTGAATGCTTCTCCACATCCAGAAAGCAGATCTTTGTAATAAAAGAGGTATTTACCTGAACATATACAATTCCAAGGACCAACAGAAAGAAGGAGACAGTTATGGCAGCAAGTCCAACATAGTTACCATCCTGAAATGCCTGTGCTACAGTTCTACCAACAGATGCTGGAAAGTATGATATAATACTTGTGAATATCAAAAGAGATGTGCCATTTCCAAGTTTTAGGTCTGAGATCCGTTCTCCAATGTACGTCGTCAATACTGAGCCAAGCGTCAATAAGGTAACAGAAGAGAGAACCCACTCTGTACTGAAGTCATTGACATATGGGCGAAGGTAGAACACTTGGCCAATTGCCTTCGAGTAAAAAGAGGTAAATATAAGTACAAAACATGAAATAGCTCATAACAATAATAATTATTAGAAGGTTGTGCACATTATTTTCATTAATGAGTTGTTGATATACATAAAGGAATTTCCAGAACAGTATGTTCACAGTTTATCCTCCCAGGCTGTCCTCCGTTGGTAGAATCCAGTATTCACCATTTGCCCTACGATCTGTCCAAAGCCTCACAAAACAGAATTGTCCGCCATTTGATCATTAAAAGTCTTGATGATTATAATCATGCATAGGTTTTTCTTTCATATCATTTGATCGTTAAAATAAATAAGGTCACATGTTAGCCTCATCAAAGGGTTGAGTGAAGCCAGGCTGGCCCCCTCAAAAGCGTACAGGGTGGTCCTCCGGTCAAACACTCAACAAGCTGGGATAGGTTAGTTTTATAACAAATAAGCAGTCCACAACTATGACCATCTGCGTACAGGCAGGTCTGTCTAAATTATAATATATCTCAATTAAATATAATTTATAATATATATACAACAATTCTCTAAAGTGGGTTTCCGCATTTTAAGAAACCTGTAGAAGCTCTTGTTAGAACCACTGCACAAAGTAACAGTAATTTAAGTTATTCTCGATTGAAGTATCATGCAAAAAATTAGCCTAATCAGTGGCCTTTTTTTTCTCATTTAATTGTGACAAATAGGGTGTTTCTGATAAAACTGAAATAAGGATGATGTTCATCAAATGACTACACAATTTCTGATTTGACTGACTTTTTATTGGGATCATCCTTAAATGAGAACATAAAAAATGAATGGTGATCACTGGACCGCATTTCAGGAAAGAGGACGTATGTCCACCACATCCTCTTTAGGGAATGACTCTGTGTGTGTGTGTTGTGTGTGCATACATGCTAACTATCTGGTATTGACAGAGCCCAGTCAGGCCAACAGGCCACAGAGTCAATGGTGAAGTTGAATCAAAAGTCCCACACATTTCTACCACCATCACTTTTGTGATATTCTCATAAAGTTGATGCAGCACTACTGCCATTAAAATGATGCTCAAAACCTTGACCACCTCTAATGCCAATTATTACTACCACCTTGGCTGCAGATGCTGCAACCACAACTACCAACACTACAACCATACAAGAACAGTGGAATAAAAATTGACTTCACATACCAACATTCCATCCTGTTATTTACCACTATTACAATCAATTACCAAGTCATTACCAAGTCATTATTTTCATAAATTTCAAAACCACCACTCCAATTACAACTCCTGCCACCATTGACACAGCATTGCTTTTACTAATAAGGATGAAAATATCCATCTACACACCAATGTTCCATTCAAAATTTCCATGTTTACAAACCACTGATATTGATTGAAGGGTGGAAACATATCTCCGAACTTTCGGCGATATGTCAACAAGATATTGATGGATTTTATCATCGGTTTGAATTGCTGACATAGTTTCAAATGCTTTTTGTTGTGTTTATTATTCTGGATTAATTTAATGAATAATGCTACTCTTACCACATCCCTATACCATCTTATGTGGCAGCTGAGGTGGACAGCCACATCAATTAAATTTTTTTAATATTTTCTTTTCTTTTATGATTTATTCAAGTATTTGTTTTTCTAATTGTCTTAATTAAAATACACTTCATTGATTTAATTGATGTGGCATATAATATGGACATGCCACATCATGTGGTATAGAAATGTGGGATAAAAATGTGGTAAGTGTAGCATTACTCTAATTTAATTGGGTAAATGAATAAGTCTTTAGAAATGGTATACAAATTTAGCAGTCGGAATAATAGCTATGGACACTTAAGTAATTCAGATAAATTCATGTGGTGTGTTGTGATAAAATTTATAAATAAAAAAGAAAAAAATCAAATTTATTCCTTAGAATAGTTATGCCTACTCATGGTAAATCAAATTAAGATGTTATTGGACAATAAAATTCAAATTTCAAGAACATACATGTGCCAGTTCCTCCTACGTGTCATGTATTATCATGGATATATATATATATGTTTAACAGAATTTAAATGTTGCTAACATAATTTCCATTATTTTCGTGAATTTTAACAATATCAATATTTCCATAAATATGTACGACCAATATTTCCCATCAATACCGACATCTTCATCCTCACACATGTATGGGATGTACAAACACCATGACCAGGCCACTGTTATCACCCAACCACTGTCACGTTGACACCAGTACCACCAATGTCGCCATGATGACTACATAATTAGTGTTGCTGTTTTACTTATCAATACAACCCTATTCTGTAGGTATATTTAACTGAATGGTTCTTAGGGATACTTCTAACAAAACAACAATGAGTATGCCAACAGCTATTATAATGCAAGTTCTAAGTGCTGTCATCAAAACATAATTTGTTGCTGAAAAAATCATTGTGATTAATGAATGCAGCAATTAAACTTCTATAACGCTCACAACTTGTAAACTGCAAGCTCATACTCAATCTCAAAACAAGCAGGCTCAACTCCCTAACCTGGACAATGGCAAAACCAACTGAAGCATATTGAGTATACCGCAGAATTTTCTTTCTTCCTGCTTCACCTTCTCTTTTCTGAAGATCCTGTAACTTGGGATAAATTTGTGCAAGAAGCTGGAAGACAATCTGAGCATTGATGAATGGAACAATACCCAGTGAACATATCCCCAGTCTGCCAATACCTCCTCCAGAAAATGAATCCAAGGTGCTCAATAAACTGTTCTGGTCCAAATTTCCAACAAAAGCCTCACGATTTACCCCACCAAGAGGTATATATATTCCAAGTCGAGATAAGGCCAGATATGCCAAGAGCATGAGAAACTTTCCTGGTAATGGGCCTCTGAAGAAGTCTCCAAAATCAATGGAACTATCCTCTATTGCAGCTGTGAATGTCAAAGTATCCTAATCAACTGCTGAAAACTACAAATATCAATTGCAAACTGAAGAGATCTAAAGATCTTAATTGAAATTTATGCATCAAGAAACAAACCTGCCAATCCTCTAGCTGAAGTAGGTTTCTCCTTCTTTGAACTTGAGGCACTCTCTAACTTTTGTGATAATGGGCCTAGGAAACTTTCCCAGGTAGCATTTAGACCAGAATTGCAATCTGAATTGATGCCCAAAGGATCAAAAACTGGGGCTTCAGTGCTGCAAAGTAATTTAAAACAGCAACAAGGGGACATGGAATTCGATATTAATATGTATAAATCAGCTTATCGTTATATGGAATACTTTATCCTGTCTTTGTTTTTTCTTTTCTTTTAAATTGGACTCAGAACAAATTGAATTCATACTACATTTCAAGAGGACAAAGTAGACTTCGATAACAATGCATTGCAAGATTCAATGGTCAAAGATGTACTACTCACAATATGCCTTGTAGAATAAGATGGCAAAAACTTTGATATGAAAACAATCAACGAAAGAAATAGACAGATCGTCATTAGTTAGATGATTCCAAATGGATAAATTAGTAGTCTCCCTGAAGTATTATACTTTCCAAATTGGTGCAGAAAAAAGTATCCAAATGTAAAGTATGTTTCTTCATTTTCTGGCCTTATAATTGTGATTCTACATAATCAATCATCTAATGTAAATACCTTTCACAGTAGCAGTATATTCGTACGTACAATCCTGACAACGACAGGTTTTTGTCCCGACAATGTCAGTTTCTATCTTTATATCCTCTAATGAAATCTTTAATAAAACTTAAAACGTGAATTGGGATTCACTTAGACATTAAATTAAGAGCAGTTTTATCCCAAAGCTTTAATAAAACTTCAATCAAGTTTCCATTAGCTGATAGTTGAAGGAAACTTCTCCAAAACTATTACTTTGCTTTCGTTTAAAAAATTGGATAATCATGACATTCAGGCTACCACTTGTTCAAAAATAGTGGCAATTTTTTCGAATCTCAATTTTCTCTAATCAAGACCATCAATTTCAATTTCTTTTCATTCCAATTGCTGCACTTGTGTGTGGAGAACTGTAATGATATTAGAGAGTAAACGCAGAACGAGACAGAGATAGATTATAGCACCGTTATAGTGCAGTTAAGTATTCAAATTAAGAACATGCATACCATAACACACGAAAATCCGAAAACCCATTATAGAGAAAACTCTAGAAGCCCATCAAAGAAGACCGAATTGAGAAATTATTGGGCAAAAAACTTCATTTAGGAAGAAAAAGCTGAAAAGGGTGTGGCATACCGGTTGGAGAGAACGCCAAGCTTCCAAGATGTAGTGCTGTTCGTGTTGGGTTTTCTCTGAACAGAGAAGCTGGCTTTGCACACTGATCTTTTCAGTCTTGGAGAGGCTTTGGAAGTAAGATAAGAGAAGCTATGGCTATGGGGATTGCTGAAGCAAAGCGGAGAAGAAGAAAAGGCTTCTCTGACCGTTATCAACATTATTATCTTTTACTACTCTCACTCACTTCTGAGTTTTGGCAGTCTTATTCTCCCTGTGTTCACTGGTGGCAATTTTAGTTCAACAAAGGGAGCGAGACTTGTGAGTGGCTTGGCTTGTGTACGGTACGGATCATCATGGATGCTCCAATTAGGGATAATTTAGGCAGACCATTTTCACACGCATGGATGTGTTAGATTTTTTAATTTAAATTTTAATAAAAAATCAATGGAGACCATGGTCTAAAATATCGATGATATCGGAAGTATCAGTAGTCTAAAAATATGGAAATTTTGATAGAAATATTGGGATATTATCGATATCGATAAAAATTAAATAAAAATCATGGAAATTGTAAGAAAAACTTGGAAATTTTTATTGAAACTTTGGAAATTGTTTATTTAGTCAATTATCTATTAGTTTATAAAAAATAAAAATAAAAGAAGGAAATGCATTACATGATGGATTTAATTGATTTAAGTTGATTATACAACGAGCTGGCAAATACTGTGAGTGTAGAAAATATGTAGTAATTAATGAAAGAAAAGATTAAACACACCATAATCATTTATATATAATGATTTACTACAATATTTTACACTTTATACATTGCATGGTAAGATACATGAATGACTTAGTACCACATAGAGTTCCTATGAGGTTCAAATTTTTCACTATCTTCATCATCTCTATGTGTAGAGTAAGTGTATTGTGAAGAGTATTCATCAAATGATAAATCCCCAAAATAGTTTTGCATGCGTTAACATGCTACGCATATAAATATAAATATTTTAGCATATTATCACTAAAACATATATATGGTGGTTAAGGTGTTGAAGGAGTAAAATGGGAGGGGTTCAAATCCCCCTTTGTGTTTTTTTTTCCTTTACATCGATATTTTCGATATTTTAGCAATATTACATTGATATTTTGACAAAATATTGCTGAAGTGTGAGCGAAATTATCGTTGGTATTGTCGATATTTATACGATATGTACATGGATATGTTCCGAAATATCCTCGATATTTCGTCGATATTATCGATATTTCAGACTATGATGGAGACCAAGATTCGGAATTTGCCACATCTTTCAATATTGATAAAATATGTACTAATTGCTAAAGTGCTATGACAAATAAATTTTAGCAGTTATCTTCCTTTGTGAGTCCTAAAGGAAAACTCTATAAAGGGGGAGGAGGAAGAAGCGTCACTATCCCTCCTCCCCCTCATCACTTCTCGTCTTTTCCTTTTAGGTTAGTGAATAAGTCCACTTAGGCGTTTTGAATAAAAAAAATCTCTTGTGGTGATTTGTTCTTAGGCATGCTTAGATTGAAGTTCCCTATCACTCTTTTAGTCTATGTTCTCAATCAAATCATTCTCCCAAAACCTACTCCATAACGTCGCTCATGTTCTCTAAATTTAATTCTAAATTTTCTTTGACGGAGGTTGACGTAAATCACCCAATTGTTTTTTTGGCAATGTTGTTTTTCATTTATTTGTTCACTCTTACAGGTAGATCGGTGGAAATCATATTTTCCCCTAATCTATTAGAGATGCGGTGATAAGTGTGGCCACAACAGCGCTTCTTCAGGTGGTGGTGGTAGGATTTGTTTAGGCTCATGAGTTGTTTTAGAGTTTTGGTTATTTTGGGTTTGTGGGCTTTGTTTGAGCTTATGGTTAATTGTGGTGAAGTGGGCTAGTAGTTTTAGTGTGACTTTTGTTCGCATTAGTTTTGATGTTTGGTACACTGTATTAGACTCTAGATATGAGTAAATAATTCATGTCAATTGTTTGGTGTCAACTTATATTATTTAATTACCCGACAATGTTAAACGGGTTGGGCTTTTAATACTCTAACTAATACAACCCGCACACCATGGTTTAGATAATACACGCTTAATTATAAATCTAGGGGAAAAAAAACACTTTGTACGCTCTTTCCATCGTCTTCTCCTTAGGGTTCTTCTTTGCTATCTTATCTCTCTCTCTCTCTCTCTCTCTCCTCTCCTCTCTCTCTCTCTCTCTCTCTCTCTCTCCAATATGCTACTTCTTGCTTCTTCTCTCTTCTTTTGTCTTCATCTTCTCTTTCTTTATGTATTAAGTTTTTGTAAAAATTAAATTATGAGTTTTTCTTCAAAATCCATGTCGTTTGCACTAGTTAGTTTGTGTATCCTTTAACTATACTTTCAAGTCTTATCAAACAAAGAGCATTTTTTTTTTTTTTTTTTTTTTTTATTTAAAAAAAAAAGAAGACAATATGAAGCTACTAAAGCTTTGATAATTAGCGGTTTCTCATAATTTCAATTATTTAATAATTAATTTATATAATGAACTGTGTTTTCGTCTTAGGAGATAAGCATGTTTGGTGCTGATACAATAAAGTGAAAACTTTTTGCCAATACAGATGCAATAACCATCACATTGATCCTTCAATTTTTCATGTATTAGAAAAATTACTATAATTACAATGGTAAGCTAGGATGGCAAAAGCTAGAATGAATGTTAACGTGAATCTCTTAATTAATTAAGGAGATTTATTTCCTTGATTAATTAAGGGATTTACTTTCTTATTTTATATAGTTGACAAATTATTTTATAATTAGGAGATACTATCCTAATTGATTACTATATCTATTTCCTTGTAAAGCACTCATGTAAAGTCTTATATATACCTTCTTATGCAGAAGAATAAAACTTAACTAAAAGTATTCAAACCATATTTATATTTTAGCATGGTATCAGAGCAATCGATCTTAGGTTGTCTCTAAACCTTCATATCAAATTTCTCATATTCAAATCCAAAACCCTAGTTCAAATTCCTCATGTTTAAATTCCTCAAAACCAAATCCCTCAACTAAAGTCCTCAAATCCTCTTATCAAAATCCCTAAACACATATCCTCAAATCTTGTATACATACCTCTCAAATCAAATTCCTACATCAAATTTATACATAATATTCCTCAAATCACATTCTTCCAATCAAATTCCTCACATTCTCATATCACATCTTACTTTTGCTGCGATGTTAGGACCCCCTATGATTCTCTCCCTTATTGCAAACTTACAGAAGCATGCAGTCAATTTTGCTAACCCAGTTTAAATTGACTCGTGCTTCCATCGCCACCACCAAAGGTTCTGCTTCTCATACATCCTCTCAAAAATCTACATGGATTATCGACTTGGGTGCTACATATCACATGACATTTGATCCTGGCCAACTTATTAGTCGCAAATCATTCACTCTGTCGGTGGTGTCTAATGTTAATGGTACCCCATCCCTTGTGGCTGGGGAGGGCTCTCTATCTCTCTGTACTTCCCTACATCTGGATTTTGTATTGCTTGTTCCATCCTTGGACCATAACTTGTTATCTATTACACAACTTACTACTACTTTGGGGTGTACTATAACATTTTGGCTTAATCATTGTGTTTTTCAGGACATCCTCGCGGGAAAGACAATTAATTGTGGTACTCAGTGGGACAAACTCAACTACTTGGATTGGGCACTAGATAGTGAGATCAAGGTTGGTCAAGCTTTCACAACCAGTGCAACTCGTTCTGAGGGGAAGAGAGACAAAGTTTGGTTATGGCATAAACGTTTTGAGCATGCCACGTTCGGTTATCTTAAGAAGTTGTTTCCATCATTATTTTCCAGTCTTGATGTTTCCAGCTTCCAGTGTGATACGTGTGAATTAGCTAAGAGTCATTGTGTCCCGTTCCCATTAAGTTCAAATAAAAGCTTGGTTCCATTTTTTGTTGTTCATTATGATGTTTGGGGACCTACTAAAATTGTCACTCGGGTAGGAGCTCGATGGTTTGTCATGTTTATAGATGATTGCACACGCATGACTTGGGTTTCCCTTCTCAAAACTAAAAGGGAAGTCAGTTCCAAGTTTCAATAGTTCCATCAAATGGTGGAGACTCAGTTTCATGCCAAAATTCAGGTTCTTCGCTCTGACAATGGCGGAGAATTTCTCAACCATGATCTTAACAAGTTCTTACAAGATCATGACATCATACATCAACGCGCATGCCCTTATACTCCCTAATAGAATGGAATGGTTGAAAGAAAGAATAGACATTTATTGGAAGTAGTTCATACCTTTCTTTTTAGTGTCAATATGCCTTGATCTTTTTGGGGAGAAGTCATCATCTCTTCAGCATACCTCATTAATCGAATTCCCTCTAGTATCCTAAATTTCCAAACACCACTTCAAAAACTTCATCACCATATCCAAATACCTCTCACCCCAAACCTGGAACCCTGAATTTTCGGCTATGTTTTATATGTCCACTTACATGATCACCAACGAAGCAAATTAGATCCCCGAGTCGAAAAGTGTGCTTTCATTGGCTATGCACCTCATAAAAAAGGATACCGATGTTATCGTCCTCCTAGTCAGAAGGTCTATACCTCCATGGATGTTGTGTTTCGAGAACACGACTTATATTTTTCAGCAGCACAGGAAAAGAATCAGGAATCTACCACTCCTCAAATTTTCAATTTTTTTTCCCATGATCTCACTCTACTTCAAAGCGACCGGTCACCCCCCTTAGTTCTTCAAACATGAAGAACCAGCTTCAAAGCGACTGGTAGCCAGAGGAAAACAATTAGTTGTCTCCACACTGCCAAACTCAAGAGGAGAAAATTGAACCGTTTTATGATATTTTGCTCGCTCCGGAGAATTCTTCAGCCCTAGTACCATACCAATTACCTGTTGAGGAAGTCATTCAGGTAACATCTTTCCCTGAAACTGATAATACTAATGAAATATCCCATGATGATTTGATTTCAGAAGGCACAGAGCCTACATATCAGCTTCCAGAAATGAAGCATATCTTAAAGCCAAAGGAAAATACCTTATCAATAATTATATATCTCTCAACAGATTATCAGAGGCATGTGTGCACTTTGTGAAACAGTTGGCTGACATATTTGTCCCCAACAGTATGACTGAAGCACTATAAGACCCAAAATGGAAAGAAACCATGAATGAAGAAATGCGAGCCCTCAAAATGAATGTCACATGGGAACTCGTGCCCTTACCTCATGGAAAGAAGACAGTAAGATACAGGTGGATTTATACTATGAAACTCAAAGCAGATGTATCCATTGAAAGATATAAAACTAGATTAGTAGCGAAGGGGTACACACAGAGATATGTGATAGAGTACCAGGAGACCTTTGCCCTGGTAGCCAAGATTAACACTATCAGAGTCCTATTGTATCTAGCAGCAAATCTCGATTGTCCATTATATCAGTTTGATGTCAAAAATGCATTCTTACATGGAAACTTAGATAAGAAGTATATACGGACCTACCACCAGGATGTAATTTAGCTCATGACAAGAAGATTCACGTTTGCAAGCTCAGAAAGTCATTATATGGATTAAAGCAATCTCTCAAAGCATGATTTGGCAAATTTACTAAGTCTATGAAGAATTTTGGATATACATGGAGTAATTCAGATCACACCCTATTTGTTTATGTATATGATATAGTCGTAACTGGAAATGACACCGAAGAGCAACTGAAGTTGCAAAAATATTTGTCTCAGGAATTTGAGATAAAGTATTTAGGTGATCTGAAGTACTTTCTCAGAATTGAGGTATTAAGGTCAAAAACTTGTAATTTATGTCTCAAAGGAAGTATGTAATGGATCTACACACTAAAACAAGAATGTTTGGGTGTAAGCCGGCTAACACACCTATTGTGATGAATCACAAGTTGTGTGAAGATATGGACCAAGAACCAACCAATAAGGAACAGTGCCAATGCCTTGCATATATTGTGAGTGTAGTTAGTCAGTTTATGCATTCACCTAGTGTTTCTCATAGGAATGAAATTGATCGAATTTTAAGATACTTAAAGTAAGCTCCTGGGAAATGATTAATGTTCTTAAAAAATGGAGATCTTGAAATTGTTGGATATACATATGTTGATTGGGTTGGTTCCATTACAGATAGACATTGTACTTCTGGTTACTTTACATTAGTGGGAGGTAACCTAATCACTTAGCAGAGTGAAAAACAAAATGTGGTTTCTCGATCTAGTGCAGAAGCAGAGTATCGAGGAATGGTTTACGGAGTTTGTGAATTATTATGGATCAGAAGACTATTAACATAATTGAGCTTCAAGCCAGAAAAGCCAATGGAGTTGCATTGTGACAACAAGTTAGCTATCAATATTGCCCATAATCCAATTCAACATTATTGAACCAAACATGTTGAGATGGATAGATATTTCATCAAAGAAAAAATTGAGAATAAGATCAACTGCCTATCATTTTTAAAATCAGAAGATCAACTGGAAAATGTCTTAACAAAAGCTGTTTGTGGAAGTGTATTTCATGACTCACTTACCAAGTTGGGCATTGGTGACATATATGCACCAACTTGAGGAGGAGTGTTGACGTGAGTCTCCTAATTAATCAAGGAAATAAATTAAGGGATTTACTTTCTTATTTTATATAGTAGACAAATTATAGTATAATTAGGAGATACTATCCTAATTGATTACTATATCTATTCCTTGTAAAACACTCATGTAAACTCCTATATATACCTCCTTATGGAGAAGAATAAAAATTAACATAAAGTATTCAAACCATATTCATATTTTAGCAATGACCATGCTCGTTTGGGATTGGTGTTTTTAATTGTACCGTAAAAGTTTATCTAATGAAGTTTCTCTTTGATAGATAAATATATATATATATATTAAAGTACTAATTGGTAGTTGGTAAAACAAGTGCTAATTGCTAATTGGAATATACATGGTTAGATACACAATGCAATTAATTTCTCAAAAAGTATAAAACTATTACTCTTGCACATGAGGTCCCAAGCTTGATTCATATTCCCTAGTATAGTTTGTATTAAAAAAATTATTATTTAAAAAAAAATTTTAAAAGCCAATTTTAAGGGAATTAAATATATTAAAAATATTCCTCCATGGTTAGGTAAAAGCATCATTTTTTTAGCAGAAACACTACAGATAACATGTTCATAGTCAAATTCATGTTACAAATTCAAAATCTTCAAATTTTGATCATAATCAAGCACATAGAATCCAAACTATTGTATTTTTATTTGAAAAGAGAAAGACAATTCATACATCAAATTTAAAAATAAAAAACAAAACCAAACAATTCAAAAAGTGGGGTCCTCGTGGGTTAAACTAAGAGACTAGAATCCCATAACAGTGAAGATAATGAAAATTCATTTATGAAAATTGTTGTAAAAATAAAGAATGAGCTATGAAACTCAAGTCTTGTGCTATAGTTTCTCTCTTTCTTGCGTCCCAAAGAGTCTCTCATTGCCATGGTCTTACTCTTCCTTTCAAATTTAGGTCTCACTTGACAACCACAAAGGAAAGAACAAAGAAAATCTAAGAAAAAATTTTGATAAAAATAGACAAACATATAGAGAAATCCCAAAGCAGAAAAAAAAAAAAAAAAAAAAAAAAAAAAAAAAAAAATCAAACAAACAACAAATGTTCAAGTTAGTTGTTTTAGTTAAATGATACAAATGATATATGTAATGAATAAATACTACAAATAAATCAATAACATCACAGAGGAATTCGAAGACATGATCAAACACTGCTTCAGGACAATCTTTTACTATCTCGAATTTCTTAGAGGGTCAAGCTGATCAGTAGGGCTTTAGCAATATTTGAACGTGTTGTGAGAGAAGGAATCATTCCTTTATAGATACACTTTCTATAATATCCCACCTAGACCTTAGTCATAAAACAATATATGTTACATGTGATTAAACAACAGGTGTCAAATGGGTCGGGCTGGCCCAACACAGCACGAAAGTATGGGTCGTGTTGGGTTTAGAAAAAAATCCAATGGACCTGGCTGGCCCGCAGCCCGACTTTCACCATCTATATATATATATATGGACTTTGATTTGGAGGCTTCTTCTTCCAACAAATCATAAATTTCCATATTAAATAAATACTACAGTAAATCCTCAATTTTTAGTCCTATTAAATCCTCAATAAATAAATACTACAATAAATCCACAATTTTTGGTCTCATATTACGTATAAGAAATGTATGAACATAGTGTGTGTATATATATATATTGTATTTAATATGCTAACATGAGTTTAAAAATAATAAAAAAGAAATTCAAGTTAAATGGCACGAGCACGGCCCTCCAAATCCAGATGACGCTAGCAAACTCTAAATTCAAATGGCATCAAACGAAACCGATTGAGCCTTTTCCCACATTTTTCTTCTTAAAATAATTTTTTTTTTTTTTTTTTTTTTTTTTTTTTTTTTTTTTTGGGCTTTTGCTTTTCCTTGTGTTTTTTTTTTTTTTTTTCTTTTTTTTTTTATTTTGTTTTTCTTTTTTTTTCTTCTCTTGTGTTGTAAAGTCCAACTTGGTGCGATATGGCCCTCACTGCTGAAATTTCCTGCGTACGTAAGGTAAATTTAGCCCATTAAATTTTGAAATCCTGAATTCGTCCTTGCGTAAATAGTCTTCCATTGATTTATTTGTGCTCATACCGATCTTGAGCCTTTTGTGGCTTTTGTCTTCGAGTGCAGGTTGTAATCAGATTATTGATTCCGGGAGACTGTGATCAAAGTTTGGCAAAAACAAGGTTTCAAGGCTTTCTAACATATATTCATACACCTGTTGATAGTCGTTCTTTTGTCCAGATCCAATTGTTTTGGCCATTATCTTTATTGTTATTTTTTGTTTATTTATTTCTAGTATTTGTTATAGGGTAATTTAAAGACCCTATTTGTCTTCAGGCATAAAAAAAAAATTTAATAAAATAAAATAAAAACCTTTTGTTGGGCCAGTTCCTCTCCCAGTTCACAACCTTTTGATTGAAGTCAATTTCTTAGTGCACAAGTTATTGTTATTTCAGTTTATTTCATCTCATTCTCTTAGGGTTTTTCACCCTTAATAGAAGCACCTTCACAATTAACACAATCTTCCGGCACCAAAGACAACTTTCGAACCTTTTGAATGTTTTTTTTGTGATGCACTAATCCTATTTAGTAGGGGTGGTTGTGGTTCGATTACCAAACTTTTCAATGAAATCATGAACTAACCGACATATTGTGGTATGGTAAAAAGACGAACCATGAATCGATATACTGCAATATGTCAGTATATTGATGTCGGTATAGGGAACAACATAACATTACAGAACTTTCTATCAACCAAAAAAAAAAGTTTGCTCATGCTTAAAAATACTACTGAAATAAGCAGAACTTTCTATCATTGACAATAATTCTCTAATATACAGAGAGAATGAACTTTATTATTAAAAATAAACCAATACAATCCATAATCCTGCTAATGCACAATTAATCAACTAAATATTTGATTGCAACTCAGAGATTATCTCGGCTAACCCATTAATAACAACCAAACAAAATTACCAACACAATTGATAAGTTTGCAATACTAATTGAAACCCAGGTTCATACTAGATAAAAGTTTAATTATTTACTAATTAAGTTATATTAAATGACTAAATGTTCAAATGATATTTCTTCAAGGTTGAGATTTTTTTTATAAAAAAAACAATATAGGGACTTCAAGAGATTGGTGGAGAATACACTTCATTAATAATACATTCAAAGCCTAGGTGAGTCCCACTTTGAGGAAGAAGATGCGAGAGAGAGAGAGAGAGAGAGAGAGAGAGAGAATAAAAAGAAAAAGAAAAAGAAGAAAAGAAGAACAGAGAAAGATTCATCTAAATTATGGGTGATTTTAATTCGGTAACCGCGAATTTTTGCCCAAACCACAAACCGACCGACTATTTGCGGTATGGTGATTTTTGAAACCGCAAAAAGCAGTCGGTTACCGTGAATTAGCGGTTTAAAACCGCAAGTTCTTTTTGTGTCATAAAAATCCAATCTTCCACATTTTAGGCCTAATTTTAATACTTCTTTTCAAGCCTTTTAAGTTCAAGCATACTTTAACCCAAAAATATAAATTCACAACCTAAATAAATAAATTCACAACCTCCTCAACTTCTCAAACATTCACAATCTAAAGAAAATTAAAGTTACAATTCCAAGCATTCCAATTAAAGTTAAACTTCTCAAGCATTCACAACCTCAACTTTTCAAGCATTCCAATTTCAAATCCTTTAAAGTTACAAACCAAAAGGAAAATGTAATGCAAAATGAATTAAAGTTATAACCCAAAGGAAAAATCCAATTCAAGGTTAATTAAGTTACAAACTAAAAGGAAAATGCAATGCACCAATGTTACAAACTAAAGTTACAAACTCAAGTGTTGGTGGTGGTGAGTGGATTTGAAGGACCTCGTTGTGTTGTTTGAGCACCAATGTTATCTACAAAATGCAATATATATATATATATATTAAATATAGTCGCAGTTTGCGGTAACCACAAGTTTTGAAAATCAAATACCGCAACCGCAACCGCAAATGCGGTTCGGTTTTCCGCGATTGCGGTTCCATTGCGGTAAATTGTCGGTTGGTTTTTGCGGTTTTTCGGTTTTTTCGGTCTAAAATGACACCCCTAATCTAAATGATGAAGTCATAACCTCTATTAGTTAATATAAAATAATTATAAGTATTTATTTTAATAATTAATTAAATTATAGTGCGATTTGTGCTATATAGCATTATTTGGATATGCGGAACTGCAACTACAACTGTATATTGTAGTTGGTTCTATAAACCGCATGTTGTGGTCGGTTTTCGTGATAAATATGTTTTAGATGCGATAAAATCTCGGTTGGTATTTGCAGTTTTTAAGTCTAAAATGCCAGCCCTACTATTTAGTATAAAAATAAAAATAAAATCTTAGTTGCTAATTGTACAACTTTTAGTAAACCAAATTCGAGAGGTATGTTTATGAGTTTTTTTTAAAAAAAATATATAAAATAAGAGTTCATTCATAAAACTAAAAGGCATACAAAGACCAGCATGAGTACAGTGGTCTCATTCAAACCTTCCTAGAAAAACCACATGGGACAAACTTCAGGGTAGGAAAGAGTACCACACATGCCATAGATTAACAAGAGAATCCGACACACGTCACTTTGGACCTCAACAAAGAACTCGAAATAAACAGACAAAACAAAGCACAACTCCATGCCCCGCAAAGAACAACCACCACAACGTAATACTGTCAAAGAAAAACTCTTATGCACACATAGTTTGATATACATAACAATGTGTCATGAGTGTCAGAACATGGCCAACATAAGTACCAAATACCAACTCCTTAATTCTTCATCAAGACCTCTATCAAACAGAGCAGGAATGTCAAGATTTGTCTCTTAACTTGACGAACTTCCAATAGAAGAGCATCATAATAGGAACGTTTCTCGGATGCCAAGCCACAAAAAGTTCAAGCATACCCATCAGTGTGAATTAGGAGACCCCTCAAGGTTGGCCTCTAACACCTTATTAGCAAACTCATCGATGCAAACAAATTTCTCAAAAACAATAAAGGTTCGACCACCACCCGGATCCCAGATCCCATCATAAAAGAACCCGAAAAAAGTGCAACCAACAGCCCTAGCCGCCTAAGACAAGCCCATCCAAAATACCACGATAGAGACATCCCTTAGAATCACTAGCGAGCACCCAAAAGGCAGACGCAAAGACAGTCGAACTCACGGAGACCACAGTGATTATGCAAAGGTAGCCTCACAGCCAAAAGAACACGACGACTCACGAAGGACCACAGTGATGACGAAAGGGCAGAAGCCTTAATCGCAAACCTCAAAACAACTGAACGACCAACCTTGCCTCGCAGCCAAGAGGCCATAATGATGCACGAAGAAAACTATTGTGCAGGATCTAAAAGAGAGACAGGAAACGAGACCAGCACAACTAGAAGCAGTGCGATGAAGGATGGTGGAGCCTGAATGTGCAAGAGAAACAAACCCTAAAATATTTCCTCCTCACTAGCAAGAGAGCGACCCCAAATTGTCTTTGAGTGAATGTTGAAAAAATAAAATTGGGTATTGTTATATTAGGACTAGTACTAGCATGTGTTTAATCCCTCAAGTAAAACTAAGGCCATGTTTGGCTGCTTTATTATGCTTCATTGGACTGGATTGGGTTAAATAGTACTTGGAACCCATGTTTGGTAAGGAAGAGGATTAACTTAAATGGGATTGTATAGTCTAATGGGGAAAAAAAAATATCGGACTCGCTTGTCTAATACAGCAAGCCTAAAACGTGGTTCGCAAAATAATTAGGGTGCTATTTTGAACACACGAGTCTTGTTGGATACCACCACCACCATCAAACACTCGAGCCTAACAACCACCACCAGAAGTCCACGACCGTCTAACAACCCTCATCAAACCCAAAACTAGCCACCACAAACCCATTTATGGGTTGATGGTTCGATTGGGTTTACCCCCAATGTAGTCAAGTGAGCAACCATCCTCATCCCAGGGCGCTCGTAGCCTCCGCATCCCAACTTTTAAGAGAGCCAAATCCACTTCTGGGTATGTGGTGACTGCAAAATAAATTCAAAATGAAATCTTAAACGGTGTGGCATGAAGAACAAGTGAAAAATAGGGAAAGAAGAAGAAAAGAGAAAGGAAAGAATATGAAGAAAGAAAGAAAAAAGAAACAGGGAAGGAAGAAGAAAAGAGGGAGAAAGAAAAAGAAAAAAAAAGATAAGTTTTAACCTTTAAAAAATATTAGAATTTTCTTTATTTTTAGGTCAAAATCTTTAATTAAAATTAAATATTAGAATTTTATTTGTTTTCTTTTTATTTAGTTTTAGGTCAAAATTTTTAATTAAAATAATTATTTTTTAGTCTGACACAACACCAAACATAAGTCTTCACTATTTTTACAATTCAGCTTCTTAGTCCGACGCAACACCAAACATATGTCAGTACTTAATCTAACTTAGGCCAATCAGAGGTAATCCAAGACAGTCCAAGGATTTAGTTCAGTTCATGACAGTCCGCCGCACCAAACCACCTCTAAAAGACTTGGTACTTGGAGTGAAAAAAACAACCAAAAGGCTTCTATCGTGGCACTTTTGGGCCTATATCTAAAATTAGAGAATGGGATCAGACCCACTTGCCTTGTCTGAGAGAGTATATGGGCTTTGTAATATGCCCTTTTTTATTGGTCTATGGGCTTTGTATTTCTAACCTATATCAATTCAAAATGTACATTCAAATTTAGAACCATTAAAAATCAGTTGAAATTTTAACTAGCTAGTAGTTTGCATCCTCTCCCCAAACTAATGACCATCCCAACTGAACCCAGAAAAGGTAAACATACCAAGATAGTAAAGATACTAAAAAGAAAAAGAAAATCTTACAAGTTGACATTTGAAGCCAAGCTATGCCAGCTCCACCATGCCACTGACATGTTTCAATAGATTCGTTTTTCTATATATATTTTTCATCCCATCCATGCTAATTCTGCAATCTTAATTGATTTTTAAACCAACACGTTGAGAAGGATTGGAATTTGTTTGGAAGATGTGCATCGCCATCCTTTTAGTTCTTGTCCCCTTCCCTAAAGGCTAGCTCAACTCAACATTTAATTATATCTATAATGCATAATTTATGTATTTGTTAGCCCTTTTCCCTTTCCTTTTGAAAACTGAATCAGGTTTGGTTGAGATCTCTGCTTGTGGATATCATTATTACAATATTTGCCTTATCCTCGGCACCCTTTTTAAGATGGAAACCAATTAATTTATGTGGTCAGACCTAGGTATTTCATTCACTCTATGTGCCTTCTGAATGAATGTACTTTTACGTAAGATAATAACTTCAATAATAATCACTATCACATCTACGACAAGAATTCGACGCAAGTTCAAGTGTTCGACTCTGGCTCTCCCATCTTTGAGACTTAGACGTCTTTTAAACAATAAATCAATGAACATATGCATATAACTTCAAAAGTATCAAGAGCATTGAGGGCATATTAAGTGATCCTGTGTGAAGGATCAAAAGAGGTTGTTTGTTTGCCTTTTAATGCATTTATAATATATAAACAGTAGAATATATGTACGATGCAATTTTTTGTCATGATAGGCATTTAATTAGTAAATGCTGGGGCAGATGAGTTTGCCCCACCACCAAACAATCGTAAATAAAAGGTGATAGAAAAGTTAATTATGAAATGTTAATAAAAATTTGTTGAGAGGGAACAGGTAAGCATGCATGGTGCTCAGAAAAGCCTGCATATCTACAAAAAGATGAGCAGAAAAAGGGCATGTTCCACTTTGTCATATATACTTGTCCTTTACCTCAAACTACAAGCGTTACATTCCATTTACTTTATATTAATAATAATAATAAGATTAATTAATTATCTCCACATCTAAGAATGATCATAATCATATTTTTGTGAATAATTAAAGGGAAGGAATATTGATTATCCCCAATTAAAAAGTGATTAATGGTTCTGATGATGAATTAAAAAGTGATTACTTTTCAGAGCCTCCTTTTATTTTATTTATTTATTTATTTATTTATTCATTTCCCTTTGAATAATTAGCAGACAAAGGAAAACTTAAGATGTCAGCATCTTCTTTATAAAGGTAGGTGCGTGATAAAAAAGTGGATGCATTCAGTATTTCTTCCAAGACAATCCTTTTCTTCTAGGGGTTTAGGTAAACCAATTCAAGTTGGACCTACATGATGCACTATACTTTTCTTTTTCTAAATTCTTCACAGAGAGAGAGAGGAGAGAGAGAGAGAGAGGAGAGAGAGAGAGAGAGAGAGAGAAAAGCTGGGTGGAGCTTATTGTATACTTTTATCTTCCTTGACAAAGGCAAAAGGATAACCGAAGTAGGTTAAAAGCAATTTAAAGTATGTTCCATCCTTATTTGTATTGTACTTTTGTCTTATGTTAATCTTAAGGAAATTATCCCTAAAAATATACTTACTAACATATGTGTTTATATATATGTCTAGAAGACTAGGCCACGCTCTCGGTGGTACTTTTCCTTTGATTAAACAAAGCACCAAATATAATGCATGTTACCATGAGCCCTTGCTTATTAGAAAAGGACTTTTATGATGCCTCCTCTTTGTTTGGCTTTTGAAAAAATAGCTTTTATGATTTGTAAAGCAAAGCATGGAAATTTCGTGGGAAAGACTAAAGTTTAAAAAAAGCAAGCACCGGCCTTTTGAACGGTTGGGGGTTGTGGAAAATTAAAGTTGGTTGAGGGGACCAATCAATTAATCTAACTTGTAAAAAAAAAGTACATGAAGGAAGTTGACTCTCACATGCTCCGCACGCCTAATACGTGGATAGTACATTATACATATTAAGTGAGGTAGAGTATATGTGGTCGTTGGGCTCAGGGGCAAAGTTAGAATTGTAAAGTTAGGGGGGCCGAAATAGAAAATATAAGTATATAAAACACCTAAATATTCAATACTTACATTTTTAGAGCTAAATATTTCTAATTAAGTCATATCTAATTTGTTTTAGATGACATTTTAACTTAAATTCTAAGTTGTTTATTACAAATTCTATATATTATATATAATATAATAGAGGAGTGATAAAAATATGGGGGGGCCAGGGCCACTCCAGGTCTAGGAGTGGCTCCGCCACTGGTTGGGCTTCACACGTGTAAACTAATGCTTTGATACTATAAAGGAAGTTGAAGTTCCATTCCAAAACCAATTAACAATGAAAGTAATAAGCTAACTCTTTATAACTCCTTTCAAAATTTACTAGTTTCTCACAATAGACCCCAATATCAAAGTGATATGGACCATTCCATATTTTTCCATATTTGCATGCCCACTTGAGCGAGCCGCCGACACGCATGGTCTCACCCCTTCTATAAAAAATAAATAAAAACCTGGTCTCATGGCTGAGTTTGTGTTTGCTGACCCGTCTCTTCTTCAACTCATTAATTTTTTACCTACTTATTAGCTAACAATTTTTTGTGACATGCATGCATGTATGTGAAATGGAATAATATTACAAGAAGTTGCAATAGTATTGTATGGTTAATGGACAGAAACCTCACATGTTTGTTTTTGTGTACAAAATCGTTCGGTTGAAGAAGGTCCAAGGCCAAACCGCGTAGTCTCCTATTCTTTGATAGGGATGTGTTAGGTTTCTTTCTTCTTTTTTTGAATGGGTGTGACCACACGATTAAGTAGCCTATGTAGGAAAAGAGACAAACAACTGTATCCAAAATATGAAAACTAATCCAACGATTGTTGGATCAACTATAGGGAAGTTTTTCTCGACTCATGGTCTTTTCTTTTTATATATGGTGGCAAGCTGTGTGTGAGAGAAAAATTTGTGCGAGGTTGTTTATGTCATGACTCATGTGGCAATATTGAGTGACAGAATAACTTCATTATTATGATCATTTCTTGATTTGGGTCATCTTTTATGATTGTGGACAATTAAGTATGATCATACTAGAACCAGAATCGATCTTGAGTCCTTGTCGATTATTCTTTCCTTCTTAGATCATTTACAAAGTAATTATCTGATTATTGGTTTTAATCTTAATATATATTTTTTTCTAGTATTCCGTATTTTTGGAGTAGAATAGATTCAATAAAATAGTATGCACATGGTGGTGTTGGTTAATTAAGTAACGCATCAGATGACTTTTAGTTGTGATTGGGTTGCATTGGAACCTTTTCGTCGAAGGAAGAAAACAGATTAACTGTATTTTTATATGAAAGTTCTCAGAACAAAGTTGTGGTTCATACGTCCTGAAACAGATTCTCTTTCTTAAAACATATAATGAAAAGGATCGCATTCGTTTTCTTTTATCGTTCTCCATCAACTGCATATATAATGCGAGAATGTGAAGGTAAAAATGTCTTACATTAGAAAGTTAGAAAATCTTGCAATGATTTATAAGGAGTTGAACTATTCCTCAATTGCCAATTGATTTTGAGGTAAAACATCAACTTCCTTCTCACACAGTAGGTAGGATGAGCACAAGATTCTAGATTCAAATTTCCATGCACTACTACAAAATACACATTGCGCGACAAAATAAGTTTGTTGCACAAAGTACAATTTCGTCCCGCAAAACTCGTGAAGAAAGAGTTTGCGCAACGAAAAATATTCTTCGCCGCGCAAAGTATTTTTGCGCGACGAACCTTAACATCGCGCAAATCTACTTTGATCGATCAATACTTTTTGTTGCGCAAAACTTCGTGCGACGAAACAATATTGGTCGGGCAAAGTTTTGTGCGACGAAAAGTATTGGTCAAGCAAAGTTTTGGGTGATGAAACAATATTGGTCACGCAAAGTTTTGCGCGACGAAACAATATTGGTCGAGCAAAGTTTTGCGAGACGAAAAATATGGGTCGCGCAAAGGCTAAAAAAGTGATAGTGAGAGATAGTGAAAAGAGATATGAGAGAGTGAGTGAGAGTGAGAGATAGTGAAGAGAGAGATGAGAGATTAAGTGAGAGGAGTGAGTGTGAGAGAAAGGGTGGGATTTGGGGAGAGGGAAACAGAAAGGAGAGGTAAGAGTAGACATTGAGAAAATGGTGGAGGAGTTATTTTGGTTTTAAAAATTGTATCA